GTGACGTCACGAGATTTTTACGGTTAATTACATTGTTGGGAAACCGTCTTGAAAACCGTTCTCTAAGAAACATAAGTAACGTTCACCGGTCAACGTATTCTCGAAACTGTATGGCCAAGAAAAGTTGAACCAATAATCCTACACGCTTTTATTCATTTGAAAAACTCATATTTACAATTTTTGTTTATTTTAATTTACAAATATTGGATGTGACAATTCCACATTTCTGAGAGCAACGACGATTGAACTTGTTTCCATGGCTAACTAAGTGAAATTAGTCAAGAAAGATAAGAATTGGCTATAACTCAGTAATTTTTTAAAAGAAACATATTATAGCTTATATCGCTGAAAAGCTTAAAAAATGGTGCTTTTTATGAAGTCATCGCCAACTATGGTTTCCATTTAAAAAACATATGTTTGTGTCATATGTCAAAAATGACAGGCTTTAGAAAAAATCGGAGAACACAATCTCATTAGAAATGTGATTATCTACAACTTTTATCTGAACATTTTTTGTCTAAAATAGATTATAATGGAATTAGGGACAATTTTTAAAATAGCCAAAATTTGTTTTTTTCGAAATGTCTAGTAAGCCATGAACTTCTTCAAAATCTATTGCACATATTTATGACCCCACAAAACTGCAATTCTTTCCCCATTTAACCGACTCTCTATCTCCAGTAGTTTCCAAGATGCCCATAGAGAACATCGTAGGAAACTCACCCTGTATAATATACATACGTGTAGTAAACCGATCATTTATGAAATTCATTTAAATTAACTAATTATATATTTTTTCTTGCATTTTTGCTTTATTTACTACTTGTCAAAGATTAGATGTCAAAGAATTTAGATACGTCAGTTTGACTTACCTGCTTCAGTAGCGTATCGGATGTTTGTGTTAATAAATAATTATTAAAACTTATCTATTTTTATTATAACAATATGTTTTTATAACAATTTTAATAACAACCAACATTTATTCACAACGTAAAATAAAACAACAAATTATTGAGTCTACCCCACGTGTACCCTACATCATAGTTTTACATTTTTTAAATAAAATTAGAACGGCACTGATAAACCGAAATTTAAGTCGGCCATATTTGAGTCCCATCGCGGCGGACCTAAGATTTTTGACAGGCTCCTTCCTTAGTCTTCTTATTCAAAGCAATCAATATATTTCACTATTGAGCATTTTTCGGAATTGTGACAATTTTTTATATATTTTTTCAACACATTAATATTTTGTTTTGATAATATTTAAATATTATGCGGAAAAATATTCAATAAAACTAAACGTGACCAAACTAACTTAATGTAATGTGTTATCGACGCCTATGATCCTTATGATAGGCAGTCGTCACGTCGGCGCCGGCGCCGCACAGTGATGCCAAAAACGCGAAAAGTGGCAAAAAATAATTTCTCAGCTTACTGCTACATTTTTTAAAATTATTTTTGTTAAATGTGGTTTTCTAAGTGTATAAGTGATGTTTGGAATTCAGAAAATTGAATTATGTATACAGTGGGTACTTAAATTGGCTGTAAAAAATAAAAAATGGGTTGTAAAATATTTAATTATATTATTCTGTCTTCAATAGCATATTAATTTAATACTCTATTCTTTGTAAAGTTTAAAAAATCAAAAAAAGTTTGTGTAAACACATTAATAAATATACAGGGTTTTATTTTCAGCCTCTTACAATAGAATTAGCGTTTCGTTTTTACTATAATTAATCCTTTTTTCAGAACTAGTTACCAATAAGTATTACTTAAATTCAAGATATTGACATTCATTTCCATGAGAAAAAAAAGAAAAAAAAAAGAAAGTAAATACATCTGTATATTTTATGTAGTTGATATTAATGAAAGTAACACCCTTGATTAAGGGTAACACCAAAACATCTAAAAGACTGAGCGCTCTTTTCGCATTAGATGTAAGCAGTTGTTCACTTACAACCATTTAATTTTAGTTATATTTTTAAATGTTCTATAATTTAGAAATATCTGTAATTACCTGTGGTAAAAATATTATACTTAGATGATAATTAGAACTTAGTTACAAGAATTTAATAGTTACCATTTAATTTTAGTTATTTTTTTAAATATGCTATAATTTAGAAATATCTGTAATTACCTGTGGTAAAAATATACTTAGATGATAATTAGAACTTAGTTACAAGAATTTAATACGCAAGAAAAAGAAACTAAAAATTATCCTAAAGCTTCTAGATAAGATGGATAATATATTTAAGATGGATTTAGCAAATGGATAAAAAAAATAGAATAATTTAATCTATAATAAGTTTTGGAGCCTTTGGATGCTGTTCTATTTTACTTGACAGGAGAAGTCTTGGTGATCTCTTACTATATCCGAGAAAATTAGTATCTAGGAGGTGCGTGACATTCTTGATAAAAGTTGTTGAATGAATATTGACGCATGATAGACACATTGACACGTCTTTTTAGTTTATATTAACAATAATTATTCAAAATTAATGAGATTTCTAATAATATTAAATTTAATGTCATATAAGCACAAAACGAATAAATACTTAGACTTAACAGGGAAAAGTTAGTTAAAATTACACAATAAAAAGTATTTTTAAATTTGAATATGTACTTTGTATATCAAAAATTAAATTGAATTAGAGAAAATATATTACAGTTTTCTTTCTAAATCTAATTAAAAATAACCAACAACAATATTTTACAGCACCTAAGAAACACCCAGTAATATTACTGTCATACATAATTTATTTTGGGAAACTAAACCATGGTTTTCGGGAGAGTTAGGCAACCTAAAGGGTATTTGTGGGCTAATGTTGGTCATGAAACTTCGTAGTTATGAAGAAAAAAGGCTAATAATTGCAACCTACATCATATTTTTTGGAGCAATTTGGAGCATTTTGTATTAGCTTACATAAAATGTGATTTTAGATTAAGCAGTTCTTAATTTCATCAAGGTCTTTATTGTTTCTTTTATGGTACCACAGGGAAGTTAAAACTAGAATTACCATGAGGAAAAACAGTTGAAAACATTGTACTTTCTCAGAGTACCATCAGTTTTTAACTAATTTATCACCAACGTTAAACGCACTAATTTTATTTAATCAAAATATTTTAGCTTCAGCTAATAATTTTATAAGCTCGAACATTTCTTATCAGGGATTAATAATGGGCCCGTTTTCATTCAAAAATCTTCACGATTCTGAAAATATGGTCTATTAGGAACTATACGAGTGAAATTATAATTAAGAAAAAATACTTGTGATATTTTGATTTTCTGTCGCGTTTAGGAACTTCTGCATCACTGTGCGCCGTGCCTGCACCCCGTGTCCGCTGATGTTTGCGAGTAGCGGAGTCGTAGGCTTTGAATGAAACAGTTGAATGTCGGGGTTTGTTGATTTCGAGCGTCAGAAAATGATTGTTGGTCAAGATATTGGTCAAGATAGTTAGAATTATATTTAAAATATCAATTTCTGTTAAATATATTAATCTCCCGATTACAGTTGGTTCATTACTTATAACGGTACATTCCAAAACTGTATGATTTACTAATATTTCCAAAGAATTTTCCCTATTTTACCTTTCGGCACTGATATAGCATAGCCTTGCTCACCTTCGAAAACAAACTCCTAGGTTTAAATTGTATCTATTTCTGTAAATTTTGCAAGTTCGCCCTATTGTCTTACTGTTTCTCAATAAAATCACTAAAAACAAGACCACAAAACACTAAAATATCCGGAAATCACCTCCTAAAACATTTCGAAAAACCACAACACATTGGCAACGCCGTAGAGCAATTTATGAATGAATTCGAACTGGCTGTTTTGTTACTGGCTAAATTTAGGAGTAAAGTGAGTAAAATTCGTACGTTTTCGGCATCAGCTGGCGTTACGACGTTGTCGATTGTTTTCTTTTTTATTATTATCAGTTTAAAGTATGGCTGTACTTAAACTGCCGTTAAACGGTAGCTTACTAAAATGCCGTTAATAGGTATGACGTCGTTGATGTGACGCACTTGACGGCTTTATGAAATATAGGAATTTTATAAGGACTAACCAACGCTATCCACCCCTCCAAATAACCAACTTAACCAACGCAACTAACCTCGACACTGATAAAAAATATAAAAAACAAATATAAATTAGTAAAAATCAACCAACCCCACCAAATAACCAACTAACCAATGAATTAACACCCTCCAAATAACCACGCTAACCAACCCGCCAAATAACTAAACCAATCCAACCAAAAAGAGTGAAACCAATGCAATAAGAGCAAAAAAAATATAAAAAAATCTTGTTCGGCGTGAGATTTGAACCACGGACCATTCGCTTACGAAGCGATAGCCTCAGCCACTGACCCACAGGTGCTCTTGCAAGAAGTGTCTAGCCCTAGCAGTTAACTATTAAGCTTGACCAATCAGGTTGGTTAGCGTGGTTATTTGAAGGGTGTTAATTCATTTGTGTTTGTCAAAAGCTCTAACGTGAATGGTCGGGCTTAATAGTTGCCTGCTAGGGCTAGACACAAGTGCTCTTGCTGTGACACAAGTGCAAACGTTTAAGGTTAGGCATTACTTTCCACCGACATGAACGACGTCACAATATCTATTAACGGCATTTTACTAGGCTACCGTTTAACGGCTGTTTAAGTACATCGTTAAAGTATTCTAGATTCTAGATCATAATTTATATTTGGAATTCGTGGTTTAGCTATATTTACGTATGTACAAAATAAAATTTCCCTTTAAGTCTGGGTATAGTTGTAGTTTGGCAAACATGCAGTTTTTTCTAAGGCAATGAAGGATTTCTCCAAAATGTAACTAACGGCGTCTATTTTATTTAGAGGTCATTGATTGACGCTTATGAAAATAATTATCATATTCATAAAAATACTTACATCCCAGCAAACTACAAATAAAAAAAAATGTAACGTGTATTGTATCAACTGTATATTTACTTTTTTATACCATTCAAATTTTATATTTATTTTAGGAATGACTAAAATTAAAATGGGTAGTAGCACAGAAGGCAATCAAAACAATGGCAGTGATTTCGTAGAAAGAAGGAAAGCTTCCTTAGAGAGGTATCTGCGCAGAACAGCTCAACATCCTGTACTTATAATGGATCCTGATTTTAGAGAGTTTTTAGAATATGGTAATCTTATATATAATTATATTGTTTTATTGTATTATACAAATTTATAATTATTTTTTTAGATATTGAATTGCCGAAAGCTACAAGTACTTCTGCTCTGAGTAGTGCAGGTGTTATGAGGTTGTTCAACAAAGTAGGAGAAACTGTTAATAAAATAACATATAAAATGGATGAATCTGATCCAGTAAGATGTCATTGTTAATATTAGTAATTTTGTTTCAATACAATTTTTAGAGAAATGAGTGAACATATAGAAGTTCTAAAATATTTTGTGATTAAACATGTTACAGTAATACCGGTTAAATTCAAATTTACAAAATGAAATTCAGTATACGTTTTTCAGTTGACTACAACTTATAGTCTGTCCGAGTGGATACATGACAGTGACAGTTGTGTCACTCTTATGTATTAACACATTAACATTTTTTTTTAAATGGAAATCGTAGTTGACCATGACTTCATAAAAAGCGCCATTTTTTAGGCTTTTAAGCGATATAAGCTATATGTTTTTTCGAAAAATTATTGAGTTATAGCCAATTCTTATCTTTCTTGACTAATTTCACTGAGTTGGCATAGTATTCTTATTCTGTTATGATTTACAACTTATAAAAAGACAGAATATATTATTAAACAGTTCTTTACAATTATTTACATTACACAAACACAAACTTAAAAAATAATATCACTACTAAATTTTACTTTAAATTATTTTAGAAAATATTCAAAAAATCCGCCATTGTTTTGAGTACATAAATGCATCTTTTTAAAACTGTATTACTAGCTATTCTCACAGATTGAGGAGGCCCATCCAATTGGTTCACCTCTTCCTATCCCTGAGTTTGCGTAATTATGATATAAATAATTTTTAACATTTCTTCCATTATTGGGGTATTGGTTAATTAAACTCCCCTCCTAAACATTCTGTATGTACAATGTATTGTACATTCGTTATCGGGGGGTATCATAATGAAAGTCATGTTGGAACCACTCTATTGATGCGCGAGTATCTAAATTTAACTTTTCTAACATGTCTTGAAAACCGTTCTCTAAAAAAACGTAAGTAATGTTCACCGGTCAATGTATCCTCGAAAATGTATGGCCAAGAAAAGTTGAATCAAGAATCCTACATAATGTGTTCTTTTTTTATAAATTGGATTAGGATCGAAAGAAATCAACAGAAGTCCTTTTTTTTAAATTTGTCGACGTTTCGCAAAATTTATTTGCATCTTCAGGACACTACAAAGTTAAGAGAGCAAAAATTACAATCAAATAAAAGTTTTTTTTCAAAAAATTTAACAAACAACTTAAAATACATATCAGTGGAATTCCACACATATACAATTGGTAAAACTACCCTAATGTTAACAATTAAATAAAATAAATGTATATGTTACTCACATTTAAATCTGGACTTTCTTAGTCATATCCATTAATACACGGATGGTATAGAAGGGAGTGGTATATATCCCTTTTTTCCTTTTAAAACACATAACACACTTACATAAAAAAAACATATAACACAATTATGTATAGAGAAATATCACGAAAATATTTTCCTTTCACAGACAAGCAGTGCAGATGTACCTACGTTGACCGTATACAGAGAGCAACTAATTCTAGTTGATAAAATACTAATATAATTTTTACCTGGAGATAAAGAACAGTTGAAAAAAGAAACATATAAAAATACTATTTGGATTTAAACCATTATTTTGAAGTTATATTATTTAATTTTTGAAAGAATATTAAAATATGCTGTACTCAGGTTTTCTACGTCTGTTCTTTTATTAACGCAATTTTTGTTTTTTTGGATTTCTATCATCTCTGCAAATAATCTTTTCTTATAATTAGATTGTGATTGTAAAATAGTGGTATTGTCAAAATCGAAGTTATGGCCTGTCTCTATTTTGTGTTCTACTAATGCGGTAGGATTAGATTTCAAAAGAAAGTTCCTTTGATCATTTTTTGTTCATTCAATCTTTGTTTTAAATATCTACCGGTCTGCCCAACATAGCTTTTAGGACATTGAGTACAAGGAATGTTATATATTATGCCGGATTTCAGTTCTTTTTTATTCTTTGATTTTGTTTTTGAAAAGAACCGTCTCTTTATGGTGTTATGACTCCTTGTTGTAATTTTTATTTTTTTCCTGTTTATTTGTAGTATGACCCATAAATGTGTTTTTAATTTGTTCTGACAGACAGTCGATATAAGGTATTTTACAATAAACTTCTCTATCATTTTGGTTAGTAGATTTTACAACGGTTTTCTTGTTAAGAATTTTTTTAATCATAGATATTGGATAATTATTTTTAATCAACATGCTTTCGATATATATTTTAAATTTTTATTATGAAAATTAATTGATGATAGTGATGTAGCTCTGATTTTCAGGTTATTAATAACATTAATTTTTTGTTTCAAAGAATGTTCGGAGGAATAATTGAGAAATCTCTCAGAGAATGTCGGCTTGTGATACCAATCTGTCTCTATTAATTGATTGTGTCTAATTAGTCTCACGTCAAGGAATGCTATGCTGTTGTTTATTTCTTTCTCCAATGTAAATTGTAGTTTAGGGTGATAACAATTAAATATGTCTAATTTACTTTGTTCTTGATTAATAGGAATTGAAGTTATAATATCATCAACATAACGTTTAAAAAACGGCAATTGAAAAGGAAGTTTTTTAATACATTGATCCTGTAAATCCTGCATAACTAAATCAGAACAAATCGGTGATAAACAATTACCCATTCCCAGTCCATATATCTGTTGATAAAACTCATCTTGGTATTGAAAGTAGTTGTTATCAAAAATAAATGTTAACAGTTCAACAAATCTATGTAAGGGAATTTTTTATTTCATTTTCTATAAGATGCCATTTCTTATTAACTATATTAATTACTATATCTGTAGGAATGTTAGTAAAAAGTGATATAACGTCCAAAGATATGAGTTGATAATCTTTAGGTAATTTAATGCTTTTTATATCATTAACAAATTCAAATGAATTTCGGACATAACTGTCGTTCTTGACAAACATACCACTTAAAAGAGATGCTAAAAAGCCTGTCAGAGAGTACAGAGGTGATCCCACAAACGATACTATGGGTCTGAAAGGTCGATTATTTTTATGTATTTTTGGCTGAAAATAAATCTTCGGTGGATTAGCAGCACCAGTTTTTAATTTCTTACCTTGCTCGTTGTCAATAAAACCTTCTCTTACTAAAGTGTCAATAATTTTTTTGTTTTTATTTTGAACTGTTATCGTTGGATCTTTTTTTAATTTTTTATATGTCGTTTCATCTCTTAGAATATTTTGAGATTTTTCTAGATATTCAGTTCTATTAATGATAACGGTAGTATTACCCTTATCTGCCTTTAATACTAATATATTATCTTTATTCTTACTAAGAAAAATAGCCGTTTGTTTTATCATGTTTTGAAATTGCTTTCTTTGAAAACTTAAAGGCTTATTGGAACGAACAAAGTTTGTTGTAACATTTATACATTGATTTCGTATTTGAATGCTCGTCTCGTCTTCGAACATATCTAAAATATACTCCAAATCTATAATTAGGTCTTTTAAAGGTTCATTTCCTTTTTCGTAAGGTAAATTAAAATTTTCTCCTAAACTTAGTATATACTGTACCTCATTTGGTACATCTACATCACTGTGATTTACAATCCATTTATTATTTACTTCGACCCTTTGTATAGGATTTTGTAATTTAACAAGTTTATTGAACTTATTTATTTGTTTGGCTTTTATTTTTTTTAATTGATTACAATAAAACTTTTCTTGGCTATTCTTAAATCTATCAAGATCTGATGTATTTAAAGTGTTTTTCAGATCATTGACAGCTAATATTTTGTTAGATTCTAATTGCTTAATTTTCCAATGTATAAAAGAAATTTCTAAATTTAATATTTTCCTTTGAAAATCTTTAAGCGCCGAATGGCATTGATTTATAAGGGGTGATTCCTCTACCACTAAGTGATCTATACATTTTGCTGTCTTTAAAATATGTTGTGGAAAGACTTTAGCTCTTCTGCATCTTATTAAGAAAATTTTGTGACTATTATAATTAACCAATTTTCTGTTACAGTTGGCCCATGATTTTAAACTTCTTGCTACATTGGCACCGTGTATGTGTTCCATTTCTTGTATATAACCCATTTTTCTTTCCAGCTCCCAGTTTCCGAACGTCAGTTGTACAATTCCAAAATGTAAATATAATTTTTATTGTTGTCGATCCAATAATATATAATGTGTTCTTTTTTTATAAATTGGATTAGGATCGAAAGAAATCAACAGAAGTCCTTTGTTTTAAATTTGTCGACGTTTCGCAAAATTTATTTGCATCTTCAGGACACTACAAAGTTAAGAGAGCAAAAATTACAATCAAATAAAAGTTTTTTCAAAAATTTAACAAACAACTTAAAATACATATCAGTGGAATTCCACACATATACAATTGGTAAAACTACCCTAATGTTAACAATTAAATAAAATATATGTATATGTTACTCACATTTAAATCTGGACTTTCTTAGTCATATCCATTAATACACGGATGGTATAGAAGGGAGTGGTATATATCCCTTTTTTCCTTTTAAAACACATAACACACTTACATAAAAAAAAAACATATAACACAATTATGTATAGAGGAAATATCACGAAAATCTTTTCCTTTGGTTCTTTTCAAAACTTTTTCACTTTCATCTTTTCCACATTGGTTCTTTTCAAAAACAAAATCAAAGAATAAAAAAGAACTGAAATCCGGCATAATATATAACATTCCTTGTACTCAATGTCCTAAAAGCTATGTTGGGCAGACCGGTAGATATTTAAAACAAAGATTGAATGAACATAAAAATGATCAAAGGAACTTTCTTTTGAAATCTAATCCTACCGCATTAGTAGAACACAAAATAGAGACAGGCCATAACTTCGATTTTGACAATACCACTATTTTACAAACACAATCTAATTATAAGAAAAGATTATTTGCAGAGATGATAGAAATCCAAAAAAAACAAAAATTGCGTTAATAAAAGAACAGACGTAGAAAACCTGAGTACAGCATATTTTAATATTCTTTCAAAAATTAAATAATATAACTTCAAAATAATGGTTTAAATCCAAATAATATTTTTATATGTTTCTTTTTTCAACTGTTCTTTATCTCCAGGTAAAAATTATATTAGTATTTTATCAACTAGAATTAGTTGCTCTCTGTATACGGTCAACGTAGGTACATCTGCACTGCTTGTCTGTGAAAGGAAAAGATTTTCGTGATATTTCTCTATACATAATTGTGTTATATGTTTTTTTATGTAAGTGTGTTATGTGTTTTTAAAAGGGAAAAAGGGATATATACCACTCCCTTCTATACCATCCGTGTATTAATGGATGTGACTAAGAAAGTCCAGATTTAAATGTGAGTAACATATACATATATTTTATTTAATTGTTAACATTAGGGTAGTTTTACCAATTGTATATGTATGGAATTCCACTGATATGTATTTTAAGTTGTTTGTTAAATTTTTTGAAAAAAAACTTTTATTTGATTGTAATTTTTGCTCTCTTAACTTTGTAGTGTCCTGAAGATGCAAATAAATTTTGCGAAACGTCGACAAATTTAAAAAAAAGGACTTCTGTTGATTTCTTTCGATCCTAATCCAATTTATAAAAAAAGAACACATTATATATTATTGGATCGACAACAATAAAAATTATAATAATCCTACACGCTACACAGTTGTGTCACTGTCATGTATCCAGTTATTCTTGTCACAGGTCACAGGTAAATTGAATTTGTTTGTCATTTTTTGGATGTTGTTTGCTGAAATCTTTCCTTGTTGGACACACTAATGGTTATTTCTCTGAAGTTTGATGAGAGAAGTCTGATGAGAGACAGCTGATATTACAATGTGGCCTAATGATTTTCCCTATCTATTTTTCCATATGAATTTTTACCTTATTCATAATCGAGATAAGTGGTCCAGAATTGAGAATGACAACACCTGATAAACGTTTAACAATATTATTCTAAATAAATAAATTATTTTTGGTATAGAGCAATAAATATAATATTTAATTATTGATCTTTGATCTCTGAAATATTTTCTGGAAACAATAAATTAACTTGCCGAGTATTTTAGATTCTGGAATATAATCTTTAAATAAAAAATATATATGGACCGTGTTATATGACTTGAAAGACTTCATTGCTCCTATTACACTTAATTAATCCTATTACTTCTCTATTTTTCAGTGGTTTGAAGAAAAGCTAGCTCACATTGAAGCATTGGAAACCCAGCTAAGAAAACTCCATACCAACGTAGAAGCCATGGTCACTTACAGAAAGGAACTGGCGGCTTTAACTAACGGAGTTTCCCGATCTGCCGCTTTGTTAAGCGCCTGTGAAGACCACAACTCCCTATCCAGAGCTTTAGCTCAGTTAGCAGACACTGAGGAAAAAGTTAGCAAACATTTTTTGTTATAACTATTTTTACTTTGATTTTAAATCAAACAGGATTGTTTTCTATGGATTGCAGGTTGAATCTCTCCATTTGGAACAAGCAAATACGGATTTCTACATTCTCTGCGAACTACTAAAGGATTATTTGGGACTGTTGGGTGCAGTGAGAGATGCTTTTCATGAGCGTACTAAACTGTTCCAGCACTGGCAACATTCTGAACAAATGTTGGCCAAAAAACGTGAAGCCAAAGCCAAATTCGAATTGCAGAACAGAACTGACAAGTTGGATCAAGCGAATGTGGAAGTAATAGAGGTAAGACATTTAGGTACCGAAACAAAAATTTGCATAATGCAAAATTATTATTTGGTTATACTGTTCCTACATATACCGTATGATCGAAAAAACGGCGTCCAGTTGGCTGGGAAATGACGATCGATGACATTTCCCATATAAATTTACATGTGAAATGACAGCGATCTTCATTTCATAGCCATCGCTGACGCCGTTTTTTTTTTGGTCATAAGGTGCAAACTACCCAAGCAGTGGATCTTAAAGCTTCATTCGGAACCTCAAAATTAGTGGTTTCAACTATACTTTATACTTCTTGTAAACAAACTTATCTAACCAACAATGAGGACTTACCGCTGAATAGACGTGTTTTTTTTTAATTTTAGTGGGAATCAAAAGTTGAACGAGGACAGGAGAGTTTTGAAAAAATATCGCAAATGATAAAAAAAGAGATGGAAAGGTTTGAGAAATGCAGAATTCAAGATTTTAAAGTTATGTTTATAAAATATCTGGAAAATCATTTAGAACATCAAGCTCAGGTGAGAGAAAATCCATTTAAGAGGATATAACTTTAAGAAAACCAAAAAACTGAAAAATAATAAGCTTCTTAAGTTTTTCAAAAAAAATAGGATTTAAATAATAGATAGATACATAGATATAATTTTCCCTTTGCCACTGTCACTTCACTCTTCTAAAAAATGGCAAGATAATTTTCCAATCAGACGTTTCACATTTGAGAGACCAAAACACCATTAACTTTCTTAGACACCAAGCCGATTTAAATCAGTTCATCCCAAACTGTGACATCAATATTTAAATGTAAAAATGTTTAACTCTTAGATCTTATAAACTTTGTAGATAAGTAAATTATCTATCTGTACTACTATCTGATCTTTGACACTGAATGACTAATCGCCAGTCTTTCTTTTATGTACAGGATGGGTCAAATTGGACGCTTTTAAAGGGAAACACTCTTTTCTATAGGAGATAGACGAAAACTAATATCGGTGTCTGGAGCTCAATTTTGTCTTCTGTTATGGACAGACGGGACCGTTTTTGAACATTTCTTTAATGGAATTCATTAACTCCATGGGGGTGAAAGATACCCTCGCATAACCGCTAAGTACTTCTAATTCTTGTCTAGATTATACAGGCACTTTAAAAATAGAACATTTATTCTTTCGCAAAGATAAAAATCCATAGGCACTAAGTCCGACGGCCTCGACGTCCAACGGCTGGGATCTTGGTTAGCTAATCAATTATTCTCGAAATTGGCTGCAAAAGTTAGCTGATAACTTCAGCGTTCTGAGGCGGTGCCTCGTCTTGCTGGAAAAATATATTTTCGAGCTCCATTAGGGGCAGATCATCAATAAGGGATCCAAAGCCTATACTAGTTAAAAGTAGCGACCTTTTAAAAAATCTGTATTTCGAAGGGAATTATAACAAAATATCAAGTGTGCTATATTTTTGGAAAGGTAATTTTAAGTTCTTTTCGTTTAATTAAAAATATACAGGGCCTCCCAAATAAAAAAGTCAACTTTTTTGTTGATAAATCTTAAATTATTAATTTTATTTTTTTTTACTGAAACCATTAAATTCTACGTAAAAAGGTGCTTTGGAAATATTTTCATAAAAATAGAAAATGTTCCATAGTAAAAGAGTTACAGCGATTTGTTAAAATTGCGCATTTTTGAAACTCCGAAACGGTAACAGATATCGGTGTGCGGTTTTCACCTTAGATTAAGAATAAAAATAGATAGAGCAAGTCATTCATAAATTCACAAAATCGAGGTGCCTACATCGTTTTATCGGTGAGTGCCCCCACTATCATAGTTTATGGACAGCGGGGTAAAGAGGAAAGTGGTAGGGGAGTTTACAGCCGAAGAGCATCAAAACAGAATTTAACCTTGAGATTCATTGATGATAGTAAAGTAAAAGCCAGAGATATAGAAGTAGGTGGTTAGAGGCAAAGATAAAATATTTTTTTAATAATAAAATTTAAAAATATGTTCATGCAATAAAACTAATAAATTATTATAAATACATAATAGTATATGCTATAAAATATTTAACAAACACTATAAAAAATTTGTTTATTAAATATTCAATAATTAAAAGTTAGATATAATTAAAAGATATTATACGTATTGTATATCGTATAGTGATTGATAATTGATAAACTAAAATGTTAATGGATCTATTATATAAGATGTCTTGTTATTTAGATAGTATTAATTACAAAAGAAAAATAGATGCATGTGAATAACTATTTTTTATATTAAATATCAGTAGATATTATTTACAATAATAATATAATTAATATAATGTATAATTAAAAAGCACAAAATTCATCTTTTCCTACCTATACCATAAATATATTCGGTAATTTTAAGTGGAAATATTAGCACAAAAACTAAAAAAAAACAATGTTCTGTAGTTTTCAAATTCATATTAGTAAGAGAGTAATATTTTGACCAAACGAATTCTCAGTGTAAGGATATTTACATACCATATAATTTTACATTAATTAGGTATTAATCATAACACGATATTAATAAAAAACACAAGTGTTGTATTTTAATAATATATTTAGGGACTGAGTAAAAAATATAATATATGTATAATATTCTTACATTTACAGGTTCATATTAAATAAAATATTGTAACCTGAAAAAATATATATTTTGTTAAATGCCACTGTAAGGATCCAAGCAGAAACTAATTTCTCATTGGCTTTTTACTTGTTGACATATGTATTTGCATAACAGATAACATAGTTATAGCAAATAGTCTAAAAAAAACGGCGTCAAAGGCGGCTGAGGAATGACGATTGATAATTTAGCGAGGTCAATCTTAAACTACACCATTTAAAAATCATATTTACTTAATGTAAAAATAAATTACAACCTTAGAGCGCCTTTAAAAAATAGTACGAGCCAAGAAAATGACTTCTAGGGCTTGACCTCACTGAAATTATCATATTTTCATTCCCCAGTCGCCTTTGAAGCCGTTTTTTTCTCGATCGTATGGTTTCCTAACTTATTCAATCAATCAATCATTTATTTATTTCCATAAAACAATGTACAATTGTATAGGAATAGTCAATAAATTCTTAAAGCTAACACAAATATATAATACAAAATATAAAAAAACAAACACAACAGATCATAATAAAATTATCATATACGTAGGCCTCATATTATAATTTGCAGGTATTCCTCCACACTATAAAAGTTCATTCCGAACAAATCATTTTTTAAGTAAAAGTCTAGAATATGCGATTCTAATCACTATCATAATTTGTCTCTCAACAAAAGTAATTCTGTAGCTCTGCCTAGGGTTCACATCTCTCACTATTTTGCATAGTAGCATTACGTCAATTTTAAACATGATGTAAAGGACCAATTTCATATGCACTATGTAATTAAAGTAACGACTTCCACACCATGAATATCTTCACTTCCTAAAACAAAATATAAACATGAAGTTGGTGAATATAAATATCTACATTGAGTATACATTGTGAGCAAAATAAAATTGACGATCAATGACATTCACCACATAAATTTACATTTTATAAAATTACATAAATCTTGCTTTCAAAGCCAACCCTAACGCTGTTTTTTTCGATGGTGAGATCTTATACAACTATAGTGTAATTTTAGTAAATTAATATTAATATAATATATATATATATATATATATATATATATATATATATATATATATATATATATATATATATATATATAAATCTATATACATATAGGGTAACACCTCTCATAGGACGCGAAGGCTCCAAGGAAAATGAAAGTGAATTGTATGACTTGATTGATTTCTAAACCCTCCATTTGTTCTTTCAATACAAACTTCCATCAACAAAAATCCTTGAAACCTTCATATCGTATGAAAGGCACCACCCTGTACACTTTGAATCTGTGTATACATATTAGTATATAGTAATATTTTATATTAAAAAATTAAACTGTAAATATATATGTACTTACATATTGTGACGGAATAGGTATCCTAACAAGATCATAGTTCTTATCTCGTTATATGCAGGATCCTGATATCTTAATGTTAATTTCCTAGGTGATGTTGAAACATCTGAAAAACCACAAATCGCGACATAAATGGCTGTGAAAATTATCAGATTTTAAATATTTTCTTCAATTCCTTATAAAAAAAATCAGCTGTTCTTGAGTTCTCTTTTGCTCGACTTTTTAATATTATGCTATGAATAAATCCTAACAGAGAAAACCATTTAATTTTTCTCTCACTATCTTTTAGAAATCTGAAATAAAATATTTATCTTAGTAATAGAAAACGTAAATAGGCATTATTTTTTTTACAAATGTAAACATACCAATTATAATTTACGTAAACATACAAATTATTTGTATTCATAATTAAAAATATACGATTTTAAATCGGAGAATATTGTAACAAAAATATAAACATTACTTCTTATAATATACATAATATATTATATTCACAAAATTATATTATAAAACAAATAAACAAATTTAAACAAATATGGTAAATATTTTAGGTAAATAAAACGAGATGTTGTATTACCACAGAACAGTACTTACTTTTGAAATGACACTCCACGATGTTTAAATTCTTTAATTCTCATACATTTTGCCAGTGTAGACCCATTTTAAATGCTAATTTTGGTCTTTTATATAAAATGAAACAATTATATATTAATGTATAATTTATGTTTATTAATAGTTAAGAAATATGGAAAAATAAAAGCACGGCAAACAGCTGATCATGCCAATCAGCTGTTTATCGACAGTTTGACACTGTTGACCGCGTCCAATTCCCCTACTATAGAAAATACTATAACAACAGAGCGGCGTTGTCAGATTAAAAATTAATCCTAACAGCTGATGAAAAATGACGAAATTTACAAATATTTCAAGTTTATTTTTCTTGTAATCTTGACTGAATCTTAATAAGTACTAAATAAAATTATAGATGTCGAAATTTTGAAAAGTAGTAAGCTAATTATATTATTATTTTCTTAAGATTTCCCCAAAGTATACGTATACAAAATTAAAAATAAACAAAAGCGGAGATATACTCGGCAACATACTAAACAATAACAATAGGATGTTGGCATTCGCATAAAATGTAAACAGTTCCCCTGTGGTTTTCACCATCATGTTTTTGATAAAAGTTGAGCTCCAGACACCGATATTAGTTTTCTTCTATAAGAGGGAGTTTCCCTTTAAAAGCAACGAATTTGACCCACCCTATACATGTAATTTTTACGAAATAAATTAAAATTATAGCCCGGGAAATATATAGAAATATATAAAATATAAGAAAAATAATATTGTTATATTCAGAATTTAATTATTTATTTGATAATATTAACTAGTATATACAGGGTGTCCCAGGCTGAGCGTGCATTAGAAGTTTCTAGAGAACTAAAATACCTAGATCGGAGATTTTTTGTACATTACTGTTTCACAAAGAGATCTATCGACTAAACATATTTTCAATATGGCGGCACTTCCGGAAATACCGGAAGTTGACTTTCTTATTTTAAATGGGTACCCCCATTTTTTATCACATACTTATATTCTCTGCAAAATTTTATGAATTTTGATATCAAACACTCTATATCTAACATTAACCATTTTTGAGAGAAAAAAATATTTAAATTTTTTGGACAAAAAAACTGCCGTCAAAAAAATCGGTATAGCCTAAACGACAAATTTAATAATTACCACAGCCACTGTGGCATAAAGAGACGACATGTGGCTATCTATTTCAAAATATAAATTGTTCGAATGTCATATAATATTAGCCGTAGCTGTAATGGAATTGAGAGATTAAAAAATTATCATAAATCATTTTTTTTTTCAAATGGAAACCCACTTTTTTATTTCACTGTTAAAAAGGTTTTTCAATTCATTACTTTTCGATTATACATGTTCCTATACCTAAAATAAATCATTTTTAAGTTATTTAAGATTTAGTTTTAAAGCGTATTTTTTCTTGATTTTATCTAACTTCATTTATTTGACATTAGGTGTCAAACCATCGGACAATTTATTTCCTTCTGCCAAAAAAAACTAATTATTTGAATTTCTTATATTATAAGTACTGCTTTTATATTATAATCACTATTTTAGCGATAGCTAATGGCAATATACTAAACGTTCAATGGCAATATGACATGGCCAGATATAGTTTTTACATGGCGTGACGTTTAAAGTCATAAGTTGCTGGTTAAAAAAAAACAAAAAAATATACCCTTTAAAACTAAATCTTAAATAACTTAAAAACGATTTATTTTAGGTATAGGAACATGTATAATCAAAAAGTAACGAATTAAAAAACCTTTACACTGGTGAAATAAAAAAAAATGGGTTTCCATTTGAAAAAAATGATTTATGATAATTTTTTAATCGCGCAATTCCATCACAGCTACGGCCAATATCGTATGACATTTGAACAATTTAAATTTTGAAATAGATAGCCACATGTCTTCTCTTTACGCCACAGTGGCTGTGGTGAACACTAAATTTGTCGTTTAGGCTATACCGATTTTTTTGACAGGCTGTTTTTTTCCTCCAAAATTTTTAAATATTTTTTTTTTCAAAAACAGTTAATATTAGGTATAGAGTGTTTAATATCAAAATTCATAAAATTTTAAAAAGAATTTAATTATGTAATAAAAAATGGGGATACTCATTTAAAATAAGAAAATTGCTGTCAACTTAAGCTTTTTCCGGAAGTGCCGCCATATTGAAAATATTTTTAATCGATAGATCTCGTTGTGAAACAATAATGTGCAAAAAATCTCCGATCTAGATATTGTAGTTCTCTAGATACGTCTAATGCACGCTCAGCCTGGGACACCCTGTATATTAATTTTTTTAGAGTAAAAAACATTTTCAAAGGTAAATTACTTAATAATGTTTATAATAATTAAGTATAAATATAAGAAATAATTATTTCGCTGAATAAAATATGTACGATTTTTAATAAAATAAAGGTTTTTTGATTTTTTTTTGAGATTTTCATACTTAAGTGTTAGGGAATGTTTTTAAGGATAAGACTGATGTTTTCCTATTGTGGATAGCCCCACATATAAAACATTAGTCATATAATGTCTTTTTATCCACTAAATACACTACAAAAACAAGTTTTCAAAAAGAATTCAAGTTTAGAATCTAAAATATCGTCTGAAAAACAAATGAATTCTTTTAACACTATACGGTTCAAACAGTATACAAAAAGCGACATTAGCTTCATTCGCAGAGCTTCCCCTAGGAGATGCAAGACCTTGTCGTTGGTGGGGAAGTTCCTGGTCAGGTGCTGGGGGGAATCCCCCCTAGCACTTGGCTTGGTCTAAGAAGCATCTCACTCATCGTCTGACGCGTCTCATCTCACTGACTGTAGTGTCGTGGCCAGGGAATTGCACCAAGACATATAACGATACCGGGCGGGGCTACGGACAGCCTCAACCTTTACCCCTTACTTCTACATGCGGGGCTCTGTAGAAGTGGACCGACTGTCCCTAGCGACTCATAGGAACACTATGAGATCTGGTAATAATAGTAATAAAAACATCACCGGTGAAGCTGTGGGGAAACCCCCCAGCGACACTGGGAACAGTAACAATGAAAGTTCCAAGGGGCCAAACCCCAAGAGAACTACAGGAGAGGTGGCTGACACTTGCGTGAGCCCATCCTCCGCAAGTGGCATACAACCTACCACCTCCTCCAAGAGTCGCGAGCCTACCTCCTACCTCTAAACCCAACAGGCGACACAAGCTACCGTTTCGTCTACCCGGCCTGGGTCGTAGCTCCTCGACTGTGAGGGACACGGGTCTCCGTAGGAAGTCCTGGGACTGTATGATGAGTTATAACTCAAGAAAGGGGGACACAATAGATTTCTAAGGTCGCAGAGATTAACTCCCCTCCCACTTATTCTATTCTATTCGTTCGCAGAGCAGTCAGAATAGTCTACAACGGTCTGACGCATGCGCATGAAGTATATTTGGTTAGGTTGGAGAACCAAAAATCCAGCGATCGTAGAGCAAAAATTTGGAGTTTCCAACTGATTTCTAATCGCCAGAGAGCGCCAAAACAAAAAAAAAGTATAAAGTGTGGCATATCATTGTACTCAGGAGACCGAGTTCTTTCAAAATCTGAAATAAAAAATGCAGGTCCATATTTAAAAAAAATTAAATTGGCCTCTAATATCTTACAAATTATCAGTTAATTTGAAAATCTAAAAATATTATCAGATAGCCCTAATAAAGTGGCTATGAGAATGTGCAATTAGTTTTTTGATTTACTAAAAACTAACGACAGGAAAAAATAAAATTGATTTTCAAAAAACTCAGCAATCCTTGAAATTTTTAAAACTTTTTTGATGGCATCTTGGTGAACATCTCAATACGCAACTTTGCCCTAATTTAACCATGTTCGTATCTATTACGGTTATCGAGATACCAATGTTCGTACCTCGAATTTGTAGCTCCCTGTATAGTTTTTTGTATTATGGTAGATATAAATCTAAAAAATATATATTTTGGTTTTTCTCTCTTTGGTTATTTTTAGTATTTAAAGACTTTTTTGAAAATAGAATGCACGTTAGAATCGAGTACCTCCATTATTTGTCCTGTTTTACCTTACCAGGAATTAGTTTTTAGCGAAAAGGTGCGTGCGCAAGGGGAAAACTGATATTTTTGGTTTTGTGTTATAAGACCCCTAGAGGCCAATAATTGTCGAACTTAAAATTAATTTACAGTGATTTGCTCTGGCCTATCTACCTATAAATATTTTTCCTTAAGCCATATCTTTAATGGTTCCAGATTTTCACCCCTCCTGTACAGGGTGGCTCGAATTCGACGTGGGATTTCGGAAACCGTAAGACAGGATCGATTAAATGGAGGCAAAGTTGCGCAATTTGATGCTCAATAAAATGCGGTATTGCATTTTTATTTTTTTTTGCATAAAATATTCTGGTGATGGAATTTTCTGTACGAAACGTCGGCATATATCAAAGTGACTATATATAGTGCTTTAAAAGTGATGAAAGAATTTAATTAAATTGAAAAAAAAATCAGGTCCCTATTTAAAAAAAATTAAGTTGACGATGGTCGCCAGAAGCCGAAACGTCAGAGTCAATATTTAATCACATAGAGTTATAGAGCAGAAACAGTTGCCATGAAATTGTGTTTTTCATTTTAAGTTGTCTTAACAAATAAAGCCAGGAAACAATAGAAAACAAAATTGAAAATTCCGTTTTTTTTCGAATAGATTCGGAATTTTTCAAAATGCAATACGGCATTTTATTGAGCATCAAATTGCGCAAATTTGCCTCCATTTAACCGATCCTGTATCTCTTACGGTTTCCGAAATTTCAATGATGAGCGTCGAATTCGAGCCACCATGTACATGTCAAATACTTTATTAGTTCAGGGCAACGACTCACCTACGCTGAAACACCGATTCCTGATAGATCACCGAAATTAAACGACGTTAGACGATGCGAGTGGATGGACGGGTGACCGTCTGGAAACTCTGTCGTGCTGTCGTTCCATGGCAAAAGTGTAAAAATCTATCGACACACTGCTCATTCACGCCGGTTCTAGGCCGGATGAAAACGATCTCATAAGAGTCGATTTAAGACACTCACCAAGTCGGTAGGCCATTGATAAATGATATGGCCGAGTACCGCGGTTCGCGTAAATTGAGGCCTCGTCGAGATTAGTCTTAGTAACAAAAAGGGGGTGTTAACAAAGACGTTAACTTAAAATATTTTATTTATTCATAACTTGAAAAGAAAATTCTGGCATTAATTAAACATTATAATAGTTTTGAATGAATGGTTTTAACTTTATAACGTGTGGTGCATCGGAACACAGGACACTCGAAATACCATGTAAATTTTGAAAAGGTCAAATATTATCTCCCCGCATGATTTTATGCAATAATTGTGCTAGACTTTTTTGAGGAGGCTTTAAAGTTGTACTATCGTATATAATTTTGTTTTATTTGGAATAGGCATCTAAAAGTTATTTGTAAAAATAATCTACCTTCAATTTACTAAAAAATTATAATACGACTCAGAGAAAGCTACAATTAAAATTTAAACTACCCGCAAAAATATGATTCTGTAATTGTCAAATTCGATGTCACATTTTTTGTTTACAATAATTTATGTAGTTTAATCCCAAGGTTTAATCTTGGTTTAATCATAGATAAAGGAAATAAATTTAAGCGTAGTTTACACGGGATAGAAAATTGAGATACAACTTGCTAGAGTAACTTGCGATAATGTTTACTTTTAAGCAAATTTTAAAGCAATTTCTTGCAACAAGTACTTTCTAGGCATATGTTTTGAACAAGAAATTGCATGCACGTATATACGGTATGGTGTATATTGCACAAGTATATTTTTTAGTAGAAAAATGTCGCGCCGTAAAAAGAGAGCTGCGGCCACTGCTCTTTTGTTGCAATTTTACGCAAACAGTCAAGAAAATCTAGAAAAAGAATATGGGTTAGATAAAGATATGAAGATTCAAAGCATTTAAACAATTTTCTGCGAATGTCAGAAGTCGATTTTAACTTTCTACTACAACTAATTTCGAATAAAATATCAAAATTGGATATGCCACAATTCCGGAAATCCTTCAAATATATTTATCAAAGTGATTGTATCTTTTTTCGACCACATACGTTTCTCCATTTTAATTTTAATATCGTTATTTAACACGCCTTCTAAAATCACTTGCACCAAAAACTTTCAACAAGACGGAAATAAATTTTAACTTGCCAGACACTCTTCCAACCTGTTTACACTTGCAAGCGTCTTTCGCCGCAACCACTTCCCCGCCAGTTTTGTGACTTGCTGAGAGAGTGCTTTCGGATACCGTTTACATTATGCAAGTTTGGTAGAAGGGCTCTCAGACATATACTTGCGATAATTTACCTGCCCGTGGAAACCACGCTTTAGATTGGAAAGCCGGTCAAAAAATACACGTTCTTATATAAAATAAAGTTTCTTGTATGCAACAGACTGTAGTTGAGAAAAGACCAGAGATCCTGTGGTCTTTTCCTACTGTAACCCCAATAGACGGGAGCCAATGTTTTTCTTTTCTACAACATGAAGAATATTTGAGTCATTGTTGTTTTCTTCCTGTTTCATTATTTTTATCTTCACACTTCCGTGTGTCTTAACACCTTAGTGCTTTTAGTTTCAAACTTCCGGTTTTTCTTTAAACTGTTGATTTATTCGGTATAGGATTTCCGGAGATTGAACCGCAAACATATATCCAACACCGCGGGAATACTATTTCCAGCGAAATGCCGTTTAACCATCGTAACATTTTCAGAATTTGCGAAAATCATATTTTTTACAAAATTACTATTTGGTACCTAAGAATATACCAAGAAAAAGAAAGTGCCTTACTAAAAATGGTTCTGTGTTAGTGGCGCCATCTATTGAGAGGGTCTGAATTTAAATACGCTCATTTATATAATTTCACTCAAAACTATCAAATTAAATATGAAAACCATCTTAAAAGTTATTTTTAACACAATATTAACAAACCTAATGCAAAGCTTTACTATTTTATTTTTTTATTTAATAGTAGAATTTATACATACAAAAAATAGAAGACAAATATACCAGGTGCGTCTCAAAAGTGGCTCACCCCTATAACTTTTTTATTTTTTTAGAAAAAAAAACGATATTTGGTATGTTAGTATATGACATAAATTGGGATTGATTGACGTATCCAATTGTTTTCGGTCACTTCCGGTTTTACAGGAAATGGCTACAACTCTTGATTTTTAAATGGCACCCTCGGTATTTTTTTACTTTATTCGATAGAAAATGACACTCTGAATCGAATGTCATATCATATGTCAACTTTTGACATGTGGTTTTTTTGAAATTGTAACATGCGGTTCATAACGCCAATTTGACTCAAAATACCAAGTGTGTGGTATCAAATTATTCGTAAAAAAATGCTTTTTCCAAATATGCTAATGAGCCACCCTCGTTCCATTTGAAAAAATTGAGATATGATTAAAAATATGATTTGGACATCTGGTGAAACCGGAAGTGACCGAAAACAATTGAATACGTCAATCAATTTCAATTTATGCCATATACTAACATATCAAATCTCGTTGTTTTATCTGAAAAAATAAAAAAGTTATAGGGGTAAGCCACTTTTGAGACGCACCCGGTATAAACATCGTTTATTATAATAAAACAAGACCAACGTAATACGCCCAAAGTTGTTAAATGGAGTAAATATAAATAGGTACCGTATGATCGAATAAAAACGGCGTCAGCGATGGCTATGAAATGAAGATCGCTGTCATTTTATATGTAAATTTATAAGGGAAATGTCATCGATCGTCATTTCCCAGCCAACTGGACGCCGTTTTTCTTTCGATCATACGGTACTTAAATGATGGAAAAAATAAAAGATGTACATTATATTTTAGGGCCACAAACAAAAAGAATTATATAATTAAAACACATATAATAAAAATGTCTAACTTTGAAAATCGTTTTGATCATTTGATAATATGATTGGCGTTATGAGAACGATAATATTTTTTGAGAATTTGACAATAGTATGACAATTCCCGCTGGAAACTACGAAAAAATGATTTACCGCCATCTGGCAATAACTAGTAGCAACTTCCTAACCTAAAAATAACTGTCACCTAGCGACTAGAACTGGAACTATTTTATTTGAAATTTCCGTGAAATCGGTGGAACCGCTTTTACTATTTCACTTTCCCGCTCCTTTTGGTACCTTCAAATTTTTGTAAACAAAATGTGACATCTAATTTGACAATGACACAATCACATTTTTGCTATTTTGATTGTAGCTTTCTCTGGGCCGTATTATAAATTTTACTAATTTCAAGGTAGTTTTTTGCAAATAACTTTTAAATAACTATTCCAAAATTCCAAATGAAACAAAATTTTTGACAAAAGCACAATTTTAACGCATCTTCAAAAGTCTAATACAACTTTTTTCCTATGTCCCGTGTTCCGATGCACCACACGGTATATTTCGAATCAGCACATAATTGTTCTGATATATTTTTTTCTCTTTAGCTTGTGAAATATTGGGAAGCTTTCTTGCCAGAAGCCAAAGCGATTGCCTGACTAGAGGACATCTGCAAAGAATAGCAGCACCTACATTCCTACTGGCGGTTCCCGGAGATGTAATTGTACCATACAAAATCCCACTGATAATCAATTGTTTGAATCCAAATACCAAAAAGGAAAAAATCATTTAAATCAAATTTAGTCTTGTTACAATTCTGAATGTTATTTATGTGGACTGGCCTTTAATTAGTATTAGATTCATTCCCCATTATGTCGAATCGTAAATTATACATAAATAGTACTTTTTTAAAAAGTAACTTGGCTGTACAGTAAAAGCTTCTGCAATATAAATAAGTGCAAAGTTCATTGGAACTATAGAAATTTTCTGGTAGACAAGTGTTCCTATGTGTAGTTTTTTATTTTAGTGGTAAATCGGTTTTTTCTAAGTAAAGTAAAACATTGGGGAAACAACAGGGGCAATCCTTCCGATAATTATAAAGCAAAAATATAATGTGGACATAATATACTTGGGTAGAACTGAGTGCTCCAAACCATCAAATTTATTATCTTGCATATTTAATTCTTTGCTAAGAGCATCTACATAAAAGTTATAACACAGTATCTAAAAGTGTCTTTGAAAGTATTGTTAAATATTTTAGTTGTAAAATTTTAACTTCAAAATTACCTCTTTTAGAACTTACTTAGAAATCATCCTGTATAAATGTGCTTTTTTCAATATACTGTAAAATGACAGTCAAATTACTTTATTATATGCAATTATATATAAGCTTAAAGCCTTTTGAATAGATATATATTAAATAAACTTATGTATATTAATGGATTTTTTAATTTTGCCGTTATCTTAATCAGGTTTTTCGTTTTTAGTCTGGCACACTTTGAGATGATTGAAAAATTAAAACTTCAAATAAAAAAGCCACCTTTTACTTTTTATTAACTTTACAACACATCTTTCTGCATTATTTTTTTAAATGTTTTTAAAGATATACTTATGGTCTGAAATCTTACTAAAACAATGGAAAATCGGTTCCCAAAAACCTATATTTTCATTCACGCTTAATATAAAAGTTTATTTTTTTTACAAAAAATACTTTACGTTCTTGAGGCCTAGGAATATTCTTCGGATAAAAGAAACCTGTACAGCAAGAACTAAATAGTTTACCACAAAGAATATAATTATTCTTTGTGGTATCTAAATTGATACCTTTTTAATGCAAAATTATATATATAACAAGATTTTATAAAATACAATTAATGTGTCAGTTAGTTCCTTACGTTATCTATCAGTAGGGAGCGTAAAAACCTCTTCTGTAAGTCCTAAAAGTATAGAAATCAGTTCTTAAATACACACAAATCTAAGATCCAAATAGAAACAACGAAAAGAAAAGCTAAGGAAAACCATTAAAAATAAAAATAAAATCAATACTAATTTAAACTTATGAACTAATTTCTAGTTGACAAAACAATATTTTAAAAGTATTTAGCCAAAAAAAAATTAGAAGATACTATGTTTCTTTAGAACATATAGTCTCGGTAGGCATAGAAATGACATTTCCGTTTAAGTAACTGATTATAGTCAGTGTATTACCTTGGTAATAATTTATTTTATTATTACAAAGTAATTTTGAACATTAAACAAGAATATCGAAATTTAAAAAACGTCAATATTTTACATTACTATTTAATCGAACTGTTACATCTATTACTTATATTTTTCAGGTACAGATTATTACTGTAGTTTACCAAACTGGTTAACCTGACGATAATGGAATAGAGCCTAAGACCATATTCTATTGTAAAACCAGGTTAACCAGCTAGTTAAACTAGGCTAAAGATCAGTTACATACAGTACTTTACATAAGGTATTACTTTTAAATCTTTTTATACTATTCGGAACGTTTGAAATTGTTTTAAAAAATTATTTGTGGCGTTTAAAAAAAATAGCATGTTCTATTCTATACAGGGTGTTTCAAAAAACATGTGCCATCTCTCGTGGGGAGATTCTTCACGTAAAAATAAGATTTATTTTTCATATCAACATAGGCCCGATTCTGCTTTGTTTCATAGCTACAGGGTGTTAAAGTCATAATATTTTTTTGATTTATTATAATTTTCTTCCAAGTGCTTTTAGCGTTTCGAATGAAATTTTGAGGCTAAAAGTAACTATGAATGCGACATATTTTAAAGCTAAAAAAGTGTCGACATATTCACCAGGGTCGTGCATATGGGTTATCACTGGAATATTTTTCTAAAAAAAGCATGTACGCCACTGACTTTTTTTCTTGTTAGCAAAATAGTGTAAGCAGTTTAATGCCGATTAAAAGTTGTCTCTTGATATTTTGTCAATTTCGCCTCCTTGATGAGATAAACGCAATTTTATTAATTTGATTTGTTCCAAGTCAATAGCAACCTTTAAAAAAAAATTAATATCATTAACTTGAGAAAGTTTTAACTAAGTACTAATTGATTCCTAATCAAGAAATATGAAAAAAAAGTTCCTATAAACATGGGTATGGAAATGCATACTTTTAGAGTTACAGGATATTAAAACTTTTTAAAATATTTTTTTTTAATCTTAAATACCATTATTTTTTTATTTGAAATTGCTGTATGTTGGGCTAATAGTAATAATATTTATTAATAAATTAGGTTAATTAATTTTATTAATTGTAATTAATAAAATTGAGTTTATCTCATCAAAGAGGCCGAATTGGACAAAATATCAAGAGATAACTTTTAATTGGCATTAAATTAATACAATTTTAATATCAAAAGAAAAAGTCAGTGGCGCACATGTTTTTTTTGAAAAATATTCCAGTGATAACCCATATGCACGTCCCTGATGAATTTATTGAGACTTTTTTAGCATTAAAATATGTAACACTTATAGTAACTTTTATCTCAAAAATTCACTAAAAGTACTTGGAAGAAAATTATAATAAATCGAAAGATTATTAAGACTATAACACCCTGTAGCTACAAAACAAAGCAGAATCGGACCTATGTTGATATAAAAAATAAGTCTTATTTAAAAGCAAAGAAGGCACTTAACACAAAAACAAAAGTTATACGAGATTAAAAATATGAAATGTTATTTCTACACCTGTTACTACGTTTTTAATGAATCTTACAGTATTTGCCATTACTTGGATATAAAATTAACACTAAAATTACAAAAAAAATATGTATCTAAATTACCACTGTTTTACTGATGTATATCTTATTTTGTTGTTTCTACTTTACGAATATGTAATGGTACTAACCTTGGTCGACGCACAGGTCTATAACCTGCATAAAAACCACCCCTACTTATACCCCTTGTTCCTCTAAAGGAAGTTCCTCCCCTTCCTCTAGGAGGACGATTGGTCGAGGATATTCCAGGCCTATTTGTTCTCTTTGGCATAACCTAACAGAATAAAACATTTAATTTAGTGTATACAGGGTGACTTATTGTTTAGAAAGCTTCATATTGTGTTACAAGTATTAAACTTCAGTTTATTAAAAATTATAGAATTCATAATATTTGTTAATAAACACATTTTTTTCAAATGAAACAAAATATTTTTTATCAATGGATTTGCCATAAAATCCTCCTAAGGTCTGACTGGTTTTTGAAATACAGATAATTTTAGACTATAAAAATATAGTCTAAAATTATCTGTATCACCATCAGCATAAAAATACACATTTAAAACTTCCCAAAAATTGTAAACGGTTGATGTTTTTTAAATGTAAGTATTTTACAATAATATCCTCCACTAAACTAATAATTCTAGAATATTAAGATACCTTTATTGATCTTCCTCTGAATAATGATTCATCCATAGCCATTGCAGTTTGCACAGAATCTTTATCAGCAAATTCAATGTAAGCAAATCCTTTCGGGTGTCCATCATACTTATTGCATAAAATAGTTACACGATTTATCGAACCACATCCATGGAAATGTTGCTCCAGCTCTTCAGCTGTAGCACCATAATCTACATTACCAACATATATACTACGATTATCAACTTCCATTTTATCTTCTAATGACATATTTAATGGGCTTGCTAAAAAAACGTTCAATGGAGTTAATCAATAAAAACTAATACAAGTATACTTACTGAAACCTGGTGGGCTGCCCATATTCATTTGTTTATCAACCTCACTTTGAAGTTGTTTCAATTTTTCAGCTTCTTCTTCCATTTCCCTCACTCTCGCCTTAATAGCTTCTAGTTCTGGATCATCTCCAACAGCCCCATCAGCATCTGTGTCATTCAACAATGTATCTTCATGTAGACCATTTGTATCATCAAATGAATCTAGCTGATCCTCTCCCATGCTTCCCAAAAGAGGATTTCCAGTGTCCAAATCTTCATTTTCAGTCATAATCTGTAAAAATTGTATAAATACTTGAAGAACATTTTTTCACCTCTAAAGGAAAGCTTTGAAAACTTAATAGTCTAAAATATATACAAGTGCAGTGAACAATCATAATCTAGATAGCTTAAAATGGTCTTTCTAAACAATTACAAGCTTTCAATAAGTACAAAATATAAAAAATAAAGACTAAAGATGTGGACAATTTGGAGTATTATAATCACCAAGGGAAAATACGTACTTTTGAACATATTTCCACTATTTACCCCAAAATAGAAATTCGATACAAACTACCCAAAATTATCTATCCATCGTTTACTTACTTGAGTTCTAATTCTTTTTTTTTTTTGATAATGTTTTTTTTCAAAAATTATTTTAGTTACCGGTGTAATTTGCCACTTTTCACGCGCGTTCACAAAAATGGCGGATTGACAGACATATTCGATTTTTCCTCCAGGTTGCCCAACTTAGTAAACAAAAAATCTGCACCGAAGTTAAGCCTACTCTTTGGTTAAGCGACGTAATAATGACCACAAGGACGGGTAAAATGGGCAAACATCTGGAAACCGTTTAAACTCCATGGAATTCCTCTAGGGCTGTTGCTCCAAAGAAAGGTATTGGGCGCGTTCAGGGACGGTCGGCGGCTGAGTGGCTGAGTAAGCGGTTTCCCTAAACGGTCTCTTTTTACAGTTTATGTAACCTATGTATGTAACTTTCAAATATCAAAGGTTTGAGCCAGTTTGAGGTGAGGTTATAATAAGTTGAAGCTTTAGAAAACACAATGTATTTAAGAAAACAGAAGAAATATGGCTTTAAATATAATATTCACACATCATATTATTTAGACCCCTCATAGAAAGCAAAATTATTCATAATATCAATACATAGTTTATTAACGAAGTTTTCATGTAGTTAATGAACGGGAAAAGACGTAGTTTTTGAAGAAAAACTACACATAGTTAATCAGGTAAATTACGTCTTAATTAACTACTTCCGAACCCTACTCAGCGGTTGGTCAGCCGTCAGCCGTCAGCCGCTGTGTTCCCTGAACGTGCACATTGTGACTGTGGAAAAAACTTGGATTGGTCTCAATTTTCGATTTTTATTGGTATCATTAATTTCTTTTGTAATCATTTTATTTTTTACGGTAATGGTGTGGATCCGGTGGCTGACCATGAAACGAGTTTTTGCTGCATATAGTCACAGACTCTACGCATGCGCACATCTTCGATGCTGCCAGATCGCAAGTTATTTTGGAATTATTTTCAGTAGAAAACAAATATGTGCTTTTCAGTGTTTTTTGTCAATATATACCGTATGATCGAAATAACGGCGTCCAGTTGGCTGGGAAATGACGATTGATGACATTTCCCATATAAAATGACAGCTATCTTCATTTCATAGTCATCGCTGACGCTATTTTTTTTCAATCATAGTACGCAATATATTATTTATATTATTATTTTAATATTTCGCACAACACGTGAACGCTTATTATGTATTTTCATTGTCAATAAAATTAAATATAAATAATAAAACTCTAGATTTCTATAATTAATCTAATTGCTCTAGATTATTATGCTACATTTAAAAAGTGCTTTATGAAGAATTCGGGAAATTAAAAGGGATATGTCCAAGTTTTTTCTTTTTTTTTAATTTTTAAATGCTGTAGCTCCATGTCATGTTCATAATAGATTTTTTTAACATGCCATCAGAACTACGGAGGCCTTAAAAGGCCTTTAGCCTCCGTAATTAAAATTGTAGAGTCAGCTTCAGCAACATTAACAGTTACCTTGTTTAATTCTGCTTATACATATATTGCATTAATTTTTCTGCTACCTTAAGATTTCTCTATTCTTACAACTAATTTATGTGATTTTCTTAGCATATATGATTTATAAACTATATTTTTCCTAATGGAAGGATGGAATAGGATATGCAAAATTAAGATATTTTAACATTTATTTTCCAGACAAAGCATAATATAGTATTAAGATTAAGACATAACAAATATTATAAGAAAGATCTTAATATTAATCACAAACTATGTCTTAATTTGGTCTTGCATAAACACAGGTATAAAACTAATAAGATCAAAACTCAACCTTAACCATATTGTCAAGATTTGGCATTATAGGAAACAAGAAATTACAGTAAATTAAGAAAAGAATATCAAAGTACACGATATTAAATACTGTAACGTAAGAGAAAAAGATAAAACATAAAGCTTATTTTAGTCTTATCAACACACTCTTCGATAAAATATATGTCTAAAATTGCTATTAATCTACTAACTTGATATTTTTAAGAAATTATGATACAAACATTATAATCAAAGTACCGTATGATCGAAAAAAAAAAACGGCGTCCAGTTGGCTGGGAAATGAACATCGATGACATTTCCCGTATAAATTTACATATAAAATGACCACGATCTTCATTCCATAGCCATCGCCGACGCCGTCCATCGCTGACGCCGTTTTTTTCTCGATCATACGGTATATTATATTAGTAACATTATAGGTAAAATGTTACCTCTATCTCCCATTGACGTGTATTGTTCTATAAGACTCGTCATGGTAGTACTTCAATGCATCAATACATATAATCAAAACTATTTTGACTGTAAATAACTAGAAATTAAATAACTTGAAAGAAATAAAATAATTCTAATAAGTTTAAAACCATTAAGAAAAAATCCCTAAATGATAATTTTTAATTCTAATGTAAATATTTAAATAAATGTTATTATTATTATAATTTTATATATTCAACTTCTTACCTTAATTTTTGATATCAAGATAATTAACTAAAAATAATTCGAAAATAAACTGCAATTTGGCAACATCGACGGTGTGCGCTTGCGTAGTATCGATGATCAAATGCAGCAAATATAGGCTTCAAGGTCAGCCACCGGATCCACACCTTTACCAAGAAGTTTTACCAAACCACAACCAAACCAAACCAGAGGTTTTAACCATAGTTTTCTCTGGTTTTAACCATAGTTTTAACTAAAGCGCATAGAGAAATATAAAATAAAAGAGTTGTCATTTCCATAGTCAAAAGTAGGCAACACGTTTAACGAGGATCGATTGTAGCGCACCCTTGAGCCCTAACTGAACTAATCGAAATATGACAGACGTTATCGGTAAAATAGGTATCTGCATTGCCTACCACAAAAAAGGCGGGCTGTTTAAATGTAAATATAAAATTTTATGTATTTTTAAAAATATTACGAAATTAAAACTGCAAAAAATATAATGAAAGTTTATTTTTAAAAACGGAATATTTGAAAAGTATAAACTATTGTACACTTTTCAAATGCTTACAGTTAAATGCTAAATTAAATTTGATAATATAAAACATATATGCTGAATTAACTTCGAGGGGTAAACTCCTGATGAATTTCTGTACACTAATGCCAAAGTAATGCCAAATAATTTAGTACTAATACCAATAATGCAAATCTTGTACACCACCAAAATACACCAGCGGTTTACCCTTCGATTTACCTATAGTATTATAAAACGTATTTAACAACGCCACTAACAAAGCATATAAGATCGCAGGGTTTGCAATCTATGCTATTATAACAGATAAAGATTTAAATAAGACATCAAAAATTAATTCACCTTTAAGTTGAATTTATAAACTCAGCAGTCAGCAGTTGAAGTTCAGTTGAGGTAGCAAATGTTCAACACTATTAAATGAAGGCGCAAATTTATAGTCAGTTCGTTTTACGTTCACAGAGTTCAGAGATGGGCAATGTCTTTACATATCGAACTTGCTTTGCATGATACCCTTTCCTGGATCGTGTTCAAATCACATCATCGGCTGAACAAAATATTACATGATGATGGCAAAACACAGCACAAAATATAAAGTTCAAATCATAGAGAAATATAAGGTCTCTGGTTCCTCGGGAAATAAAACTTCGTCCATAATTTCTGTAGCACAAACACAAAACAAACAAACAAAGTTTATGCTACACAAAATAATAACAAAATTCCAAAATTCAAAACAAAATTGTAAACAATCGCAAAATACAAATAATTTGCTGTCATGTCACTTGTCATTCTTATAATGACACGTGACAGGTAGCAGGTGGCGACGCTTTGGAGCCCTAACTGAACTATGCAACATTATGGCCAAGTTAGACAACCTTTCAAACACTCTTTTTATTTTAGTTACTTTATGCTAAAGCGTATCTAGCCCTGCTTTTTAACTTTTTATATCTAGGGACTTTACTTTTTATCTTTCTTTTCTTTTTATAAACATTTGTCATTTTTGACATTTGACATGTTTTCTTGTTTGACAAAGAATTGTTTATCATCTTTGATTTATCATACTGTGTTATCATAGACAAGAGAAATATTGATTGTTTATTAATTTGGAATAAGAATACTGTTTATTTAATAGGTATATTAAAGTTATCATAAACGGAATCATGGAAAAGGATGATTCAAATGGGAGCTCCTTTGAAATAATAGATAAACCAGGAAATGATCAGGCAAATGGAAGCGATAGAACTGGTAAATAATTATTAATTAGGTCAAAATCGAATGATTTTGTCAACAATGAATGATATGATATGTCTCTCTTTAGGATCGTCTAGTCGCACTTCAACATCATCTTTTGTTACTTCCCCTTGTTCAGTGAATGTTACAACCGGAAATTTATTATCAAATGTAGCACCACCAACAACACTGCCAGATTTTCAATTATGGAACTCCCCAGCATCTACCGCCATTTCCACAGAATCAACCACACATTTAAACACGGTTGTTACTGCAGCCCCTATTATTGTTAATCAATTTCCAAGCCCACAATTTAGGTAAGGATATCTACTATCCCCTATCTTTTTTATTTTGTATACATGTATATTGTAATACATTTTTATTTTGTATCGAGTATTGTGCGTCACATAGCACAATACTCGAATTCGGGTAATGCCCGAAAAAAATGCACAGAACTAGTTTTGAACAAAAAATATTTCCCAAACCCAAAATTGTACATTTAAATGGGTATTGCGCATTACAAAATAGTCATAACTAGTATTGTGCATTTTGAATTGCGCAAAACTAGTTTGGTGCATTTCAAAATGTCCAATACTAGTTTTGCTTGTCCTATTTGATCAATAACGCCCTAACACAAAGGCTGGATTGTTTATGAATGTGTTTGATTCAAATATGATTAAACTGACAATAAAATACTTAATAATGGAACCCTAAGAATGGTTAGATACCTAATAAATAAAATATAAACAAAAAAAACCTTTATGTCGTTTATGGCCTGTAGCTATATGTGCCTGGTGAATTATAGAAAACACTTCCTCAGTGGCCACAAAATACAGTATGACATCAGAATCTCCTTGGCGCTTCTTGATCAATTTTTCCACACCACCCACAAAATATCAAAACGCTTTATCCTTCTATATTGTTTCGCACACAAAGGTTTTAAATCAATTTTAAGAAAATTTGCCTCCTTAACTTCAGTCAATATCGTTAGGTATTGATTCGTTAGGTATTGGTTATGTTTCTGTGTTTTAGCACAGAAGTTTAGCATCAATCGACTTACTTGAATTTCGAACTCGGTTTCCATTCTTGCATTTTTATATTTTATTTTACCAAGTATTGCGTATTTCCACCCACAACAAAATCAAAATAAGAATCCTTTAAAACCTAAACAAACTGCTAACCCTACTTTTTGCCGTCTTATTAAAAGAAAACGAGCAAAACTAGTATTGGTCATTTTGAAATGCACCAAACTAGTTTTGCACAATACTAGTTTTCGCTATTTTGTAATGCGCAATACCCATTTAAATGTACAATTTCGGGTTTGGGAAATATTTTTGCACAAACCTAGTTCTGTGCATTTTTTTCGGCCATTACCCGAATTCGAGTATTGTGCGTAACATATATACTTTTAGTGCTGCCATACCTCCAAACAAAGGCATACCTCAGGAACAATTGTTAAAGCGAACAGTATTGATTGAGGCAGAAGAGGCTTCATCTAGTGGTTTTTTTGGTTTTGTTAAAGATGCTTTATCAAGTCAGGTTGTTAGTAAAATGGTAGAGAAAGCAAAAAGTTCAGTAGACTCAATAATTACAACTCTGGACCCTCAAATGAGTGAATATATTTGTAAGATTACAAAATCAAATATTTTTTTATACAAATTGTGTTTTGTTAGATTCTGATGGCGATTTAAAAATAATTGTGACTTCAGAAGAAGAAGACATTATTGGTGCAATTAGAGAAGCTACTTATGCAGTTTTTGGAAAAGCATGGGTGCAGTAAGTACTCTTGTTAAATGTAAAATATCTTACTATTAGATAATAAATTATTTGAAGGGGTCTGACAGATGTGCCTTTTGAAAAAACTCAAGCTGTTGGATTTGATAAAGCTATAAAAAATCTTGAAGCAAAGTTAGCTTTCTCTCTGCAGCTGAAAAATATACCAACCGTTGCTATTGAAAATGTCTTAATAAAACAAGGCAAGATGTAAGTGTATTTAAAAAATATCTTTCATTAGTAATAGAGCAAATTCTACTATTGTTTTTATGGCACATTTCTTTCTTAGCTGGCATGATGTTAGTATACTGATACTGAGAGACTTGGATAATCAAATAAATCTCCAAACATTATCACAATCTGTACCAGTGCCAGTCAGAAAATTTTTAGGACCTGAAGTAGCCGACATAGACATAGAGAATAAACTTGCAGAATATTTGAAGGTAGTATAGTTAGTTAATATACCATATTCCATCAAAAATATTACACATAATATTTTAGAATGTTCCCTGCTGGCAAGAGGAGGTATCAGGTGTGACAAGAAAAGAAATATTAACTTTAGCTGCTAAAGTACTTTTTAAAGTCTATAAAGACAATTTACCGCGACGATCAGAGAGTAAATGATAGAATACAGAAAATAAATAATGAATCTTTAGCCTTTAAGCGATCCTTGTATTATATCAACTTTAGATAGATAGTTAAACTCACCGCGCAAAATTTAGACATATCTTTTGAGAAGTAAAACAGAAACTTTTTGATGCCCTTCATTTTGATTCCACGTTAAATTTATAAAGTAATATTAAAGGATAAAAGTTTTGGCACCTTGATTTTAACTGTTTATTTCGCAATTTTCTGTTTTTTTTTTAAATACAATTTGCCTTGAATACGCGAGCAACAAAAACGGGGTATGAATAGACTTAATATTACTCATAAATAGAGTAATTATTAAACTGCATAAAATCACCTAACGCATTGAAAATCCCCGCACGTAAGATGTACTTTCAAAACGTAGCATGCTTAAAGCTTCAATTTCACCTGATTGACTTCAAAACAAACAGGATTCAATACTTGGCACATTATTTCGAAAATTTTGTGGCTTGTAACAGAAAATGGACCTTTCAACAGGGGCGGTTTGTCTTACGAGGCAGTGCCTCAGTAATAAATTTGAAAAATTACATGTCTTGATCGATCCATCTTTAATCACAATTTTACATTTTTTTTCTCTAATTGCATCAGTATAATTTTTTATTCGTCATTCTACAATAAATTACGTTCATGGTATAAGAAATAATGTATAAAACTAATGAAAAGAAATGCCATAGGCCTTTTGTTGAAGAAAGATCAAATATATGGAGTAGTTAGCGCGTGAAATGATCGTATTAATGTAGATAAAGAATTGTAAATATGTAGTTAAATATGTTAAGTAAAGTGATCTGTTACAAGTAAACGTTTTGTTTCTATTGGTTGGGTCAGAACACGCAATTTATTATGCAAATGACGAAGTAGCAGCCACATATGATAATATGATTGAAAAAAACGGCGTCAGCTATGGCTGTGAAATTAAGGACAATCATGGACACCATTTTATTTGTATACAACAGAATATTTTTAGGATATGCACTTTTATAAACCATGCAACATATGTGAGTCAATATAATAACATATACATGTGCGAGTGCAAATATTTTCAGGGCTTGAAGATCTCGATAAAAGAAACATATTTTCTCTATGCCGTTTTTCAAATAAGTCTAAAATAACCGAGTTATTTTACTTTGAAAATTAAAAAAAATGAATTTTTGCTAAAAATTTGAGAACCACTAGGTCTTTTCTGGGTTCTCTTCCTTGTAAATTTAATCTACTATCTATGATGATATTCAAGGAATTATGTTTTTTAATTAGACTAAAAAATTCCAAGAAAATTTGGGGACGTGTTTCTGGGGTCGAAATATACCGCCCCTAAAATTATTTGCACTTAGACTCACCCTGTATAGAACTTATGGACCACCTTGTATATAAAAATAAATAACATTTTCTTCTATGTGATTCACCATCTTCTAGTACTACGAGCCGCCCCTGCCTTACATATATAACAAATTAATATAAAAAAGATGAAGATTAAAAACATATACCGTCAAATGGGGTTAAATTTTTGATTAAATTGATAGTATCAGTGGTAACAGTTCAAAAGTAAAATATATCAATCACAAATAAAATTTTAATATGTGTATGAACTATTTTAGTAAATTCCATTTTATTTTTTTTGTTATTTATCACTGCCTACTAATAAAAAAATGACATATTTTAAATATGCAGTAAATAGTGAAAATATAGTGTTATATATTTTTGTGAAGCTCATGTGGGGTGTTCCATTTGAAAAAAAAAAACAACTTTAGTTCATATTTTCAAAAATATTTTTTTTGGTAGAAAAACATACTACGCCACTGTATTTTCTACATAAAAAGTTCTACAAGAATCAGTTTTCTCCTTCTCGAAATCATCCACGTGTCATCCACAATAACGGAGATACGGGAGGTGTCCCAAATTGCAAAATTTTCGAAAAGACCCTGTAGCTCAGAAACGAAGAGGGGTATAAAAATTTTGTTTACAGCATATCTTTCGTTTGACAAAAAAGTGGGATAGGTTTGTGCAAACCGCATCCTCCTATCTTTACTAATAACGGAGATACCGTTTGATTTCAAACAAAATGGGACACCCTGTACACTGCAATTCGATTTCTATGATATGTCCTTTATGTTTGGCCATCCATATGAAGGGCTCATTTTCGTATAAATCCATAAATTCCAAAACAACAGAACAATTTGAAGACTACACGAGAAAAACCAGTTTTGTCCATTTATTTGGAGCCGAGAAAAGTGAAATTTAGGGCGGATTTACCCAATTTCTTAATTGCTATTCCTTAATTCTTATTTCTTAGTCTCTAATTTGTAATTCTTAATACACAATTCTTTATCCCTTATTTTTTTAGAGACAGTTATCCAATATTTTTTATAACTAATACCATTTAAAGTTTTAAGAATTTATCATTTTAATGATTTTTTATTCTTCCATATTTTAAATGGAAGAATAAAACTTATGGGATCAATGGAATGAAAATATAAATTTTCAATTTAAATTACAGAAAATTGTCTTACGAGATGCCCCTGAATTTTGTGGCGCGTTTTAACTGTCTAATAAGACAAATTATTAATAAATTATATTTAATGTATTAAAGTAAGCTTTACGAAATATCAATAGAAATAAAACTACAAATTAAGTATGAGAATGTTTTATTTAAAAAAAAAACTTGATAGAAGATATATAACTGTACTAGTAAAAAAGTTGATTGTTTCTAATCTTCCTTTAGTCAATATGGATAAAGCCAAAGCAACCATACACAAGAAAAGACTTTTCTGTTCCCACTACGAGCACACCTTTTTCACTCTAAGATGCGAAAAAGGCCGGCTTAAAAGTGTGGGGTATATCATGTTGAAGTAGGTACTTACTTTTTATAACCAGTTGGGATTGCCACGGAATTTGTTTTAAAAACAAATTACTGGAACAACTAATAAGTAGATGGTTCTTTTAAATCCAAAATGATAGATTTCTTCAGTTTAAAATACTCATAATATGCATAAAAAGGCTATTCTATTGAAAGTTGTTTTATAATACATTTAAATCATAAAAGGTAGTGGGGAGTCGACAGGAGGGGGATTTTTGTCGCTTGGAGCAAGTGATCCACTTTAACAGACTGTCTTTTTAATCAAGGTTAGTAAAAGATAAGTTGTCTCGTAACTCGATCCGCCATTATCGGAACTGCCTTACAAGAATGCTGCCCATCATAGACAAAGGGATAAAAACTGCCGACAGTCCTACAGTACATTTCCGAATCGATATATCCGATATTCATTGTGTATGGCGTCCACAGTTTTCAGTTGTTTGATATTTGTTTTCTTTATTACATGTCCATTTATCTCTATTTGTCCGTTGCATTTTATTTTTTATTCCTTTATGATTTTATACGTTCTGTAGCATTCTTGTGACGTAGTTGCCGCTTCGCTCCTACTGGACCAAAAGTTACGAGGCAACCTGTGTAATATAGTAACCTTGGCCTTTAGAAGAGTATCATTACTAGTTTGTCAGAGTGTGTTATGTCTTATTTTCAACGTTGGCAAATATTAGTAGTGGGAACTATCGAATGAATACTATCGAAACATTCGATAGTTGCAATTCATTCGAATAATTCGATAGTTAGTAAGAAAACATTCGTTGAAAACTATTCGAATAAAAATTATCGAATAGATCCGCCATCTGCCTTGAAATATTGTATTCTAGTAATTCGGCAGCAAAAACCATTCATTTATAAAATTCATTCATTTATTCGTCAGGATCGATTATAATAAAATATTAACTGAATTTTAGTTGTCGCCCGGCGACGTAGGTTTCTTTCCGAGAAACCCGACAGCGGTTGGTGGCAATACTATGAAAGAAGCCGGCATCTTTGATTTTTTGCGGAGTCAGATATAGATATTTTTTTTATTGAGGTGCTAGTATTTACACAGAAAATACATTATGAAGGGCGCTGTTGCCATATTTTGGTATTAGTTGATATTAGCAAAGAATATTATTGTTTGGCTTTAGTTAGTTAGGGATTTATATGTTAGTTAGGGATTTATATAGTGTTATGTCTATATATTCTGCATTTTTTTTATTAATATTCTGTTGTTACACTGCAATAATACTTGTTATTTTGGATGTAAGAAAATGATTTTTAATGTTTTTAAGCAAAGACTGGTTTAATAAATAATAATAACAGTAATAATTTGTTATACCTATTAACAACAAAGTTTAAAATGATTTAATATAAATATTTTTTTTAAGTAGTAGCAAAATATAAACAACAAATTAGATGTCAAAATTATTTATATTAGATCCTATTTAAAAATAATATAGTCTCTAAATTTTTGGCAACGTTGGTTTATTAAATAATAATAATTACAGAACTAATTTGTTATATTAACAACAAATTTTAAAATCATGAAATATAAACATTTATTAATTTTCTAAGCATGCAGTGTAATGGAACGAAAATATAAATAAAAAATTAGAAATCAAAATTATTTATATTAGGTGCTTTATATTTCTATTTAAAAATTATATTTACTTTTACTGGCATTTACTTTAAAAAATAAATGAAATATTTCTTCGCAAAAAACTACATGTAAGAGAATTAGCATAAACAAAATACAAACATCGTTAACTTTTTTTTAAAATTGGCATGTGTAAAACTTCATTTTAATTTTCTCACCCCATAGTTTGAGTTCGATAACCCCATTTACTTAACCATATTACTTAAATATTATTATTAAGTTTAACTAATTCATATTATTAAAACATCTAAAATACAAATATGTATTTTTAAAATTAATTGTAAGTTCATCTCATCTCTCTTAAAAATTGGTACTTCTCAAAATTTCCAATTAAAAAATAGACCATATACAATATAAAATTAAATAATTGAAAGATCGGACTACGGAAAACCTGACAAATTTTCGTAAAAATTTTGACCACCTGCACATGCACACAATCGTCAATAAATAAAATTAAAAAATAACTACTATTTTAGTATTTTAACTATTTTAATAAACGCAAAAATAGCACAGTATTTATACGGCGAAGTTATAAAAATTTGGAAGAACTAATAATGCACTGACGCATACAAAAATCAAACGAATACAAATTTCATTTATCAAAAGCATTCGATAGTCGTGGCTCAACGATAACCATTTAGTCGCACGGCGAGGTTGTCACATATGCTTTAGTATACAAATGAATGAATGATTCTATTCGAATAAAACCATTCGATAGTTGAAATCATTCATTCATTAACCATTCGATAGTTCCCATCGCTAGCAAATATAGCCATATTTTTTGCAACAATTGTGATGAAATACAGGATGGGTCAAATTGGACTCTTTTAAAGGGAAACACCCTTTTCTATAGGAGATAGACGAAAACTAATATTGGTGAGCTCAATTCTTATCAAAAACATGAAGTTTTTATCAAAAACAGATGCAGCACATCGATATCTGTTTCCGTTTCGGAGTTACGTTTGTTTTTCAAAAATGTGCATTAAATACTGTGCTTCCAAATACAGAATTTTTAAAAGCTCGCCACTTTCAACTAGTAGGCTTTGGACCCCTTACTAATGATCTGCCCCTAATGGAAATAGAAAACCTATTTTTCCAGCAAGACGAGCAAATTTTTGCAGCCAATTTCGAGAATAATTGAATACCTAACCAAGATCCCAGAAGTTGGCCGTCGAACTTAGTGCCTATGGATTTTTATTTTTGCGGAAGAATAAAGTTTCTTATTTTTAAACTGCCTGTATAATCTAGACAAAAATTAGAAGTAATTAGCGGTTAAGCTTGATTTTCATGCATCCATTGTCCGACGATACGATATTAATTTTATTGGTTGAATTTAAACGCTTAACCGTTTCTAACCAATCAAAGTCTTTAAATTCAACGAATAAAATTAATATTGTATCATCGTATCGTGGGATAACGGATGCATGAAAATCAAGCTTTCTGTGAGGCTATCTTTCACCCCTACTAAGTTAATGAATTCCGCGAGAAATGTTCAAAAACGGTCCCGTCTGTCCATAACAGAAGTATGTCGAACAACTGTAGCAAAATCTTGGTTTGCTATTTATTTTTATTGTTATTAAATATAGGCTTGGTGAATTTCAGTTGATTTCAACAAATTCAGACCGCAGCGCACTCTACGACAGGAATCAGAAAATATCAATATACAGGGTTTCCCAGAAATGAGTGCAAGTATTTTAAGGGGTGGTAGATCTCGATAAAAGAAACATACAGGCGGCGCCGTTCAAAGCCTACTTATTAAAAGTGGGCGAATTTTTCGACGAGGAATTAAGCAAAATATCAAGTGTGCTATATTTTTGAAAAGGAAATTTTAAATTATTTTCAATGAAATAAAAATATACAGGGTGTCCCATATAAATAATCAAATTTTCTGTTGATAATTCTTAAACTAATTAAAAAATAAATTCTTAAACCATTAAATTCTACGTAAAAAGGTGCTTTAGAAATGTTTTATAATAAAAATACAAAACTTTCCATAACAAAAAAATTACAGCGATTTGTTAAAAATGCACATTTTTGTAAAACATAACTCCTAAACGTTATCAGATATCGACGTGCGGTTTTCACCGTCATGTTTTTGATAAAAATTGAGCTCCAGACACCGATATTAATGTTCACCTATCTACTATAGAAAAGGGTGTTTCTCTTTAAAGGCATTCAATTTGACCCAACCTGAACATAATAACTAAATATAATTTTATCACATATTTGAGCCAAAAGCACATTCTAATCTAAACCACAGTAACAAATACATTAGAAATTTATTTTACATCAAAATACCTACCAGTTTTTAAGAATAGAAAGGAGAGGATACAAAAAGTCATAATGCTCCCCCAACACATTTTTTGTACATGGAAGTCTGTAATAAATATAAAAAAAAATATTTAGCATATTTTAAAGATAGAACATTTACTATATAAACTATGACGTGAACTAAGTCAGAATCCTTTTGGCAAAAAACATTGATATTTTTTAAATATCTTCAACAAAAAATTAGTATCATCATTTGTTTCTGTAGGTACCATTATTTGTTCTTACTTTTGAAAAATAATTTAATGAGAAATAATGAATATTAGGTAACCTAACACCTTCAAGGGAAAAGTAGAAAGTTTCCATCATTTAATTTGCAAAGAATATAATAGTTGAATATATCAGTACATACGCGAAAATGTTTAGTTATTAAGTATTAAAAAATGATTTAGTTAAAACGATGTTAATAAAATTAATAAAATGATTATAAGCTTACCCAATTGAAAACTAGACCTGCAACACTTGTGCAATCTAAAAAAGAGAGATAAACTCATTAAAAACCTAGTTTCTACATTCAACAAGTTAAACTTAACAACTTTAAACTTCAGGCCTGTTGAGCTTAATTTACAAAACCATCATTGATTTTCTGGTGTAAAAGAAATTTCATCATATTTAAAAATAAATTAATTTGTGAGTGTCGCAAGTTGAAAGAAGAAAGAATATATATTTTAACTTTTAATTGAACTACTTTGAAAAATCATATTTGAATTGAAATTTGACTTAACTGAAAACTCAAATAACCCAATAATTCTCACCTGTTAAGTTAAAAATTTCGTCCCAAAGTTGGCTTGCATCGGCTCCAGAATATGTAGGTTTTTCTGTCCATCCTAATCCTCTTTTTTGTAAAAATTATACATGTATTCTTTGTTTAATTAAAAAAAGAGTGTAAAATAAAATTTAAAATTTATTACACAAAAATGAGTAAACAAATACAGTTCTTATATAACAAATCTGAGTCGATTTAACATTTTATTGAAATGGTTAGAGTGTAACCATTTGAAAATAAATAAAAGAAGAAACAATGTAGTGTTTTCACTTTTTGCACTTTCTTATCAAAAGAATCAATCCACATATAAACACTGTAGTATTTGGAAAATAAATAAAATAGCCAGAAAATGGAAATCCGGAATAAACCCTGCCGAGAATACAAATTTAATTATTTTATTTTAGTGAATAATCATGCTTTTTTGTTATTATAAATCTTAAATAAACTTTTGCTCTGTACAAAAAATAAATTGCTAAAGAGGAGGCAGATGTTGTTTACAATTTGTCCAAATATTGAGATAGATCGGGAAGACCTTCTTTGAGACCTTTTCTTTTACGCGTGTCCTGAAAAACAAAAGAATCGTATTTAAAAAATAACCAGAGAGAAAGAAAAGTAAAAAATATATTTGAATTAAATATTGTTAGTCCCCCTATTCTGGCTAGGAAGTTAAAACATCTTCAAAACCGAAACTAAAAGACTTGTGATTTACCATAGCTTGCGAATCTTATATACATTTTAAAATACATAAAATTGTCTAAGCATGGTGTTTTGTTTTTTAATATACTAACAGACACACGTACAGCACATAATACAGAAGCGACAGTAAGCATATCCTCATTTAAAATGTCCTAATTTTTATAAAATAGGCATTAACAGTAAACAGTTCTTTTACTAAAAAAAGAGATTTACTAATCAAAAAGTGTTCTCAAAGTTTTTCAAAATTATTTTTATACAAAAAAATCTCATTCTTCACATTGTTACGAACTGATTAAAATTTGACAACTGGTGTCATTAAAAGTAAAAATACAGAATATTTGGACCATGAAAAAAGGTGCCCGTGTCGCCTCTGCATAGCAATTCTGTGCCTATAGTATGTATTAATAATATAAAAATGTATTCAAAATATGTATGAAGCATTGTTGTATTTGTCAACATTAGATAACTTACTTGCACAACACCAAATGGTCTGGTACCACTTTCCAATGGGTCACCAGGAAGGATTTGCCAGTGATCGAACACACATTGTGGGAAAGCCTGTCCTCCAGTGTTAGATCTAGAATACAACAATAAAAAATAAAAATGACATACTAATTAGCTCCACTTACATGAAATAATATGTTTAAAATATATTACATTTACATTACAATAAAAAAAATATTCTTTACCTAAGATCTGCTGTGAAACCAAAGGATTCATTTACAGGTAAGTATGCTTTTACAACAAACATAGGTGTACCAGCCACCTGCATTTCTTCAAAGACGTGACCACGTCTTCTGTTCAACACACCATAGATACCACCAACAGCAACTTCAGGACACTAATTTATCGAAAAAATAGTAAATAAATAAGGATATCATAATGTAAAGACAGTATAAACAGAAATATAAATCCTTACCTGAATTTCACATTGATATACTGGTTCCATGAGCCTGGGCGCGGCAGTGAGCAAACAAGCGTACAGACAACGACGGGTTGTGGGGATGATTTGACCGCCACCACGATGAATGGCGTCGGCGTGCAGTGTGACGTCGTAGATGTTGAATCGGACGCCTCGCAAGTTTTCTTCAGAGAGAACACCCTCCTTAGTTGCCCATTGGAAACCTAAAAAATCAAACACCCACATTACATTACTAAAAATACTTGAGTGCTGTATGGTAATGATGATTTAAATAAGTACAAAGTTACATTTGCTGTTGGAACGTTTAAATACTTTTAATAGATCGAAAAATAATTGTAAAATATATAACATATCCCTATATCTATTCATTTATTAAAATGTTGGACTGATTTTTGAAGTCATTTTGTGTGAATCCATTAAGGATGATTCATGGTACACCGGGCCGTACCCGAGCCGGGCACGTTCAGTAAAGTAGACACCGAGCCACGTCCGGGCCTTCAATATATGCTACACCGAGTGGACACCGGGGATCATGTCCGTGCCGATTATATTCTAGAAAACAGTGTTGCCGCAGTGGTACATTTGTACCAAATTTGATACTTTTAATTCTATTTGGTACAGTGGTACTACATTTTCAAATCCAGGATGATTTAGTACAATAATTATTTCCCACGCGCACCCAAAATGAATAGATATTTAATAAATATTGTCGTTGATATTGCATTAAACGCGCTTACCAATACCATTCGGAGACAAACCGCATTAATTAACGACGTATTATAAACGTTGTAATGTCTACAGCGTTGCCTATATTAAATAACCCGAAGAAAAAACTTGAAAATTTACTGTTTCTAACATGCTTCTATATTTGCGTTTTTTTTTAATAAAATTTAAGTTTTCCAAATATTGTGTGTAGTATTAGAATTACTTAGATTTCTTCAACCTATACATACTTATAATTGGGTTTTCTGAATTTCTATTTCATGTTTTTCGTCTCGATTTGTGTCTTTCTCCAGGAAGTTTTTTTATGTAGAAATATATGAAGAAATTCACAACGACCAAACCGGTTAAAGTCATTTGCAGATGTATTTTGTTGTGCTTTAAAAAGTGGTTGCTTTAGTTTATAATGTGGTACGCGCTAAAAGTTTGGTGCGGCAACACTGCTAGAAAACAGTCGCTATAGGCCCGTAGACGAAGTATTTAGCCGCGGCGGCTCATTTATGTTTGCCGCAACGGGGCCGGACCGTAGCGGATCCGAGGAAAAATGTACACCGACATTTCTTGGACGGGGCACGGACGGGTTCCGGCGAAGCTCGGACCGTGCTCGGCTTAGCATGAAAGTATAAGTATAAATAACATTTGACAATGTTTGGCCGTGCCTTCACCGTCGCACGGCCCCGGCCCGTCACGGTGTACCGTGAATCATCCTTTACACTTCAAAAGGGCAGATATTTATTTTAAATTGTGAAGTGCCAGAAATCCGGTATTTGAACACATGTCATTCGCGAACTCTAGCGCAGAACTAGTTTCTTCTGATGTCATCTTATTTATATTAACGGTCGAGATTAGATTTACATAGTATATAGAAACTATCGAATTGGTTCAAATTCAAATAAAATAGATGAGTGCAAGGGAAAGGATAATATAGTCTGTCCAACGAGAAGATCCTTGACAGTGATAGATGTGTCTGTCATTTTAATTTCAAAGTAGTTTATTTTATTTTACAAAGAAATAAGTTGGTACAACTGGAACGCATAGCAGGAAATATTTAAAATTTGATTGACAAGATGACAAGTGATTACTTCAAAATATTGTGAAAAAAACTGTATAAAACTGAAAAAATGTAATCGAGTTATTTTATTTAATAAAACCGGTATGTGTTAATACAAAACAAACAAGAACAAGACACTACATACCAAAAAAATATAAAAAAGAACTATTTTTACTTTCAAGCTTTATGAAACTACCCGCATTTATGATTATATTTATCAATATAACTTATGTACAAATACAAATTTGTAATATTCCACAGGAATAAATAAAACAACATAGGTAAATAAAACAAACTATTTTATTAATAATAACACCTACCAAATTTTATACCTTAAAGGTTGATTAATTAACTTTAATCTTAATTTTTTTAAACCAGTACCTTTTGACATTATTTTTCTGCAGTACTAAAATCCATTATTTACATATCGTGTGATGTCGATATTTTATAGCTACTCCAGTTTTTAGTATGTGTTTAGTTTGATCCTTCACCATATACGAGATGCACTTATCTACGACGAGATGGTATACAAACTTTAACGATGGGGTGTATAAGACTTTCTGCCTGGGCAGCGAGTATTAACCATAAACTGTGCTCTGGGTCTACAGTTAATTTTCACTCGATTTTTCCTCCACTTGACTTGAAAGACACAAAACACACGTAATAATACGAATCAAAATGCATCATCTTCCAAAACGCAGGGTATTTAACAAAAGTTGACACAAAATTATAACCTATAATTTGGCAAGACTTTGACAAGCGTCAAAAATGACAAAAATCTAAAAGCGAGTTCATACGCATCGGCGTCCGTTTATCGTTCATCGTTCCGTCAAACCAATAAAATTGAAATACGATCTGTCATTTTTTAAATAAACCAATAAAACTGGTTAAAAACAACAAGACACGACGTATGACGGATTTATATTTAAACCCATCCATAGATAACTTAAAATTATTAGAAACTTTTTTTAGTAAAATAAATAGATTGGTATGGGACGTCATCTGCTTTTCTTCTGTCATCGTCTGTCGAAATCTTACCTGAGAAAAAAAACAGAGTATAGTAAAATTCATTTATTTTTTTGTTTCCTTATCAAGGGTGGCGTTGGTCTGGTACAAACTGACGAGAAATAGTCACCAAATTATCTCTTTGTTTATCTACTTACCGGCTACAACAGAGTCTTTTATTTCGTTCAAGTACTGTACACCCTTGGTACAATCGACGAGGATGTTAGGTCCGGTACCGTCAGGGCCGAAACACCAGATTTTACGGGCTTCTGTCACGTCGTAATCGTACTTTTCGCCCAAGTAACGGGCACGAGCTTTGAATTCGTCCCTAGGGTTCACTTTGCCATCATCAATGTCCTCAGCAAGACCATCTGGCATAGGTTGGGCTTTCATGAATAATCTAAAAAAAAAAAAAACAAATTAGAAAAAAATAGGAAAACAAAATATAAAAGACAATTTAAAAATAAAAGAAAAATGTATAAATATATAAAATATAGGAGCAAATAAAATAAAAACACTACATAAAAAAATAATACACAAGCTAACGATAAATGATACACAATATAAATGTATCAAAATTAAAAATGTTTTCTTACCTGTTGTGCTTATTGGGCGATTTCGACAGACACATTTGGTCAGATTCTTCGCTAACCGTTTCACGATAAGACACGACGGGATCGGATTTCTTAATTGGAATGCAGGCGTGATCGTCTTCCAAGTCCTTTAAGCAAATTTCTAAGTGGAGTTCACCAGCTCCGGCAATGATGTGCTCACCAGATTCTTCAATGATACATTGGACCATAGGATCTGATTTAGCCAAACGTTTCAAACCTTAAAGAAATATTTCTTTAAACAAATAGTGCCAAACAGCAACCTAATACAAAATAAATGATCTGCTTATTATGACAGAATTTGAATATAGCTCCTATATACATCCTATAACTTCGACATTTACTTTCAGTAAGTTCCTAAATATAGCTGATGTAAGGTTGAGAATAAATTTGTACTAACAAAGATCAATATTTAAAATGAACAATTATAAATTAAATGTTATCAACTTACCTTCAACAAGCTTGGGCAAATCAGCTGGATTCTTAGGTTCAACAGCCACACGCACAACAGGTGACACACTGAACTTCATAACCTTCAAATTGTGTGCATCCTTAAAGGTGGTGATAGTACCAGTCTTGACCAAGAACTGATCGACGCCAACCAGACCGCATATATTACCGGATGGTACATCCTCGATAGCTTCTACGTAACGACCCATCATCAGAATGGTTCTCTGGATGGCTTTTTCATACAAATCTTCCTTTTTACCAGGAACATAGTTGGGGCCCATGATCCTAGCCTTCATGCCAGTGGCTACTTTACCGGAGAACACACGACCGAAGGCGTAGAAACGACCTTTGTCGGAGGTGGGTACCATTTTCGAGACGTACATCATAAGAGGACCATTGGGGTCACAGTTTTTGATGCCTGTAAATAAGAAAAATCTTGATTTAAAAAAATGTTTTTAAAAAAATATTGTGACATTTGGTTAAATTAATATCAGCTACAACCAATCAGTCATGAATATTTCAGACTGGGGCGGTAATACAAATCATCATAATCATCCATTATAGCAGAAACATTTCTTTAATTTAAAACACTTATAACTTAAAATAAATCAAAATAAGGATTGTCCGACAAGATATATAAATGTAATAAATCACATACATAACATTACATAAAAATGACAGAAAAAATTGTTTACTCTTAAAGCTAAATAACAGCTTTCATTAATGTCAATGTTATATCATTCAATTGCTGCACTGTTAAAAATCACATTCGAATTTCTAAGCTCTTATCCAGAGAGATAAAAAAGAATAAAAACTAAAGAAAAATGAAACGGCAATAATATGAAGGTAAGAAAGAGAATTTAAGAAAAGGAAAAATCTAATTTTTTTTAAAATGAGCAGTAAAATACAAAAACTGAAAAACGATCTAGATAAAAAATGTGAAAATGAAAAACGAATTTAAATAGATAAAAATAGTATATAAATAGTAGTAGATAGAGTAGATAAAATGAGATAAAAACGCGAAAACAAAAAAAGATTAAAGATCATATCAAAAATCTTAGATCGACCGACAAGGGACTCAAAAATGGCCGACTTAAATTCCAGTTTATCAGTGCCGTTCGAATTTTATTTAAAAAGTGTAAAACTATGATGTAGGGTAGACGTGGGCTGTGTGGGGTAGACTCTACAATTTGTTGTTTCAAATGAGTCAAATGAATCGTCAAACAGAACTGTCAAGGATCCCTACCCTAGAGTCCTTTTTCCGTCAACCATGCATGAATACATGGATAGCATTATACTTCTTTAAACTTTTTATTCAAAGATAAGAAAAACTCAAAAAAAAAAAGATAAGAAATATATAATGTGGTAAAAATTGGAGGAAAAGGAAATAAAAGTAAAGGAAAAGAAATACATACCAAGAGCAGCCTCGTCGTCATGAGGACCTTCGTACAACATCTCCATTCTGTATTTTTGGGCTGTTACAGGCGAGGGTAAATGGATGGCAATCATCTGAAGTAGAGCCTCTCCAGCAGGCAACCAGGTACGCATAACCACTTTCAAGAGTTGCTTTCCGTCCTTGTCTTTGTCTTCATGTTTCAAGGTAATACCCAACTTGGGAAGGAGAGCTTCATATTCCTCTTTCCTATTCAACAAAGAGACTGTTAGAAAACATTTTTTCAACTAAATAATAAAAAAACATAAGTGACAAAATGTGTTTTGTGTTGTTTTCTGGCTACCGTAGCATGTCACCATCGGACATAAAGATAGAGGTCCCGTGACAGCGTTTAAGCCTCTAGAAAAGTTGATATTCTTCCATTGCACTGCCAACAATGTCCAAGTTAAAGAAAACAGTCTGGGACTGTTTCAAAAACTACACAGTGGCTCTATTTGTGCTGGAAGTTGCTAAATAGTTTCACAAGCATCAAAATAATAACTTCAGGCAATCCATAGTAAAAATAACCAGGTTTTCATTGTTTTGACATTTAACACTTACATGATAAAAACTAATAGTTTTTTTATATTAGAAAAATTAAAAAAAAAAAAATTCTAATATTATTAGAAAAATAGATGTGTTATATTAGCAAAATGACTCACTTATAGTTCATAATGGCATCAAAAATTTTGTAAATGGGGTCGAGGATATACATGCAGAACGATCTCTTGTTATCGGCATCCTTTTGTTTTGACCATTTCTTAGTTTTGGTGTTGAAGAAGTTCTCGCCCCACAGTCTGTTCATCAATTTGCTAACATCAATTTTGAATTTATCGGCGTACATTTCAGAGAATTGTTTCAGTGTGAAGGCCCATCCGTGCAAACCAGATCCAAAACCAACAGAACCTTTGCTAGGGTCAACCTGTTAAAAATACTTTTTACATAAAAAAAACGTAGGAAAACGACACCCAGCTGAGGCTATACTAGAGTAAATTATAAGTTGCTATTTAAAAAATGTTTCACCGTTGGAAACTGCCCATATTCATTTACTGTATAGAGCAGGGCAAAAGGCGACGTCAATTTTCTGAGTCTACATCAAAACAAGTTAACAAAAATAACGTGCTTATGTAAGAAGACTCAAACAATACGTAATAATAAAATAAATGTTGCAACTTACGCGAACTTCACCCATCGGACCACCATCATCATTGTAAGTGGCAATAATTACGTTAACGTTTTCAACAATGCGTTGGAAAGTTTGATACAATTCCTCAGCTTCCAATTGCAATTCCAACAGAGCGCGGTCCATTTTGTTCATGAATAAAATTGGCTTGATACGTTCAGCAATAGCCTGACGTAAAACAGTTTCAGTTTGTACACACACACCTATAATATACAAATAAGAATAATATTTGACAATCAAGCTCTATAAAAAGAAATAAATGAACTGATTAACAAACAGTCAGTTAAATCCAATCAATCACAATCATCAGCCTGGGGCGGTAATCATATCATCACAGTTTCATAAATTACATTTTAGAATATTTGTTTAAATAAATATATGGAGGTTGTCTCTAGCTAACCTAAAAGAACTAGAAAACTCAGAGCAGATATTTTTGGCCAGAGCAGATAATTATATGTCCCACAATAAGATCTGTTGGCTATAAAAAATTATATATACAATTAAATTTTACATATATAAGGGAAAATGAATTCAACTAGGCTATGTAACTGATATTTAAGTTAACTAAAATTTATTTACATTTTTTAATATAAATAAATGTTAAAAATATGTAAATCCCAATTGACAATGTAACATTTTTGATGTCTTCTCTATATGTAAATAGGGGTATGCAGTAATGTTATTAGGGCATGAGCAGTTATATGACACAAAAACTGTCAAAGTTGCCACAAATAAGGCCTCCCTTGATACTGTTGAAATATCTCGTAAGACCTTGAGATAAGAGAATTATCTTTGTGTATTGAAAAGTGGTCATCAAAGAGGGAACAATTGAGATAGCGCTGCTGTATCAAAAGTTCTACAATTGAAAGAAGCACCAAAAATTTGTAAAATAGGAAATAATTAAAAAGAGATAGATAAATAAGTACGATTTCTGAAGGCACATATTGCCACTCTTCTTGACTAACTTTACTACATTTATAACTGTTAAGTTCAGTCCAATCCCTTATTGCTTAATAGCACCAGTGTGATCATTTAGTGAACCCTTATTTCTCTTCTTATTCAGATGACCACTTTTTCAAACAAAGTCCCATAAGAGACTTTCCTCCTTATTTCTCCTTCATAGTCTTTACTGACAATACTGTTATCCAGAAATATAAATTTTTTTTACTAAAACAACTTCTAGTCACATTGTCGCCTTCCACTCAAAGTGTCATAACTCACATTTTAAAAATTTTACAGTAGAGCAAAAAAACCTCTTTAGTCTTTTAGTGATCTAAAAATTAATTTTTGTTAAGTATGCCAATTTTGCCTGCTACAGGATAAGAGCCTTAGCTGTTACAGTTACGATGCTGTGGTGGCTATTCGATAACACTAGAAGATGATATGTTAAAATAACATTTTTAACAAAGTTGTAAGAGCATCACAAATTTTATAAAAAATCTGTAATGTTCTCGTTATCTAAAAAAACTTCTAATGAATGCTTATCCAAGAATACCATGTATTTTAAAAAAAATATATTCCCCGAGAAGGTATTCAAATTATCAACAAATCTTTTTAACTCTATGAACAGTAAAAAAATATTTTGCAATACTTAAAATCAAGATGCCATTCAGAATAATTTTAGCACAAATATTTACTTAATTATCTTATCTTCTTTGTTAATTAGTTTTTATATTTGAGATTAAAATTGAAATATGCCGAGTGTGCTCTTAAATTTGAACTTACCAGAAACACAATCTACTACTACTAGAGCACCATCAGTCACACGAAGTGCAGCTGTTACTTCAGAAGAAAAATCTACGTGTCCAGGGGAGTCAATTAAGTTGATTAAGAAACCCTTTACTTCTTTTTCACGTTGGTCGGGACTTGTTATGAATAGAAGATCTTTATCATCAAGTTCAAAGAACATAGATATAGCACTAAAAAAGAATATTTATAGATAGAGATATAGAGTAACATTAAGTAAAATATTACATGATTAAAAAATTCAGAAAGACTAATCGTAAATATCACAGAAAATCAAGGGTTAGCAAATTTCATCAGATGTAACAAACTTAATTTTCTTACATGTTAAAAAACTTACGTGGATTTAATTGTGATACATCTTTCTTGTTCATCCTTTCTAGTATCTGTAAATCGGGTTTCTCCAGCTTTTGCTCCAGCAATAATTCCAGCTTTTGATACAAGGGAGTCAGTTAATGTGGATTTTCCATGATCTACGTGAGCAATGACAGACATGTTACGAATATTCCGCTTTTTGTCCATCATGGCACGTATCTCGTCTACTGTGAAGTTCACCTTAAATGAGGAAAAAATAATTTAGCAAAGTTCTAGCTCCAATATGTTTAGCAAAAATTTTATGCCAAAAGAGGAAAAATACATTTAATGTACTTTACCTATAATTATCCAATAAAAATAAATAAGACATAGAAAAATGCATTAAAGTTATTGATTTAGAAGTGATGTTAAAAGAACTTTTAATGTAGCCATAATGCAGAAGTGTCAACTGTATTTCCTTGCACTTTTCCAAAATGCAATTTCTGTATGCATTTTCAAATATTAAATCGATAAGGTAACAAATTAAATTAAATAAATACTTAAATTTAAGTGCAAAAATAACAAGGAAATATGTAAACAATAAATACAAAAAACTTTCATATTGTTGTGCAATGTTGAAAAAGAAAGCAACTATTTATCGAATATTTTCATGTATTTGTGAATAAGTTATGCGATACACGATAGAACATAGTATAGGGATTTGCTTAGTATATTTAAAAACTGTGATAAATACTTACCATTTTGGATGATGGAGGATTTCTTTCTTAAGAACTACAATTAACGATACGCCAAGTATGGCGTATTCCCGTAAAAGAACGAGAGCGACGAAAAATCACACCAGTCAGCTGCCAGTGCCACGCAGATTCTGACAGCCAGGGCTGCCCAAGATAGAGAATGTGCAAAAGTCACTAGAAATGAAGTCTCAACTAATAAGGAGAAAATGAAGCGACCACAAAAAATATCGATAGTTGAAAAAATAAGTATTTCTAAGTTTAAGTCTGGTTTAAGTTTAATCCTCGTTTTTGTATATTCTTCAAATAGAAGGGTTTAATTTACGTTGTGATACTCATTATTTTAGCAGTTTAAAAAAGTTGAGAATTAAATTCACCATTTAGATTGGATTTTTAAGTGTCAACCTGTCAACATAAGTTTTATGTTTTATTCAACGGGGATGTCACTTGTATGGGAAAACAGGCAACAGTCAAATTTAAACGTGCCAGGACCAACGACAAAGAAAGCAACATCTGCCAGGCATTAGCTTTCTTTGTCACTCATATTGCTTAAATCATGATACCGCGGCCATTTTGCCAACAAAGAAGCTGGCCGGGCTGTCCTGGCAAGTGATTTAAAACAATTTTGCTTTTTTACAATATTAAATTACCATTTGGATGTATTTAATGCGATTATTCAGTTAACTGGTAAGTCAGAAATTACACACAAATACTTTATTCGTAAATACAACTAAGATGTAAACGTATTTTTGTATTTTTAGATTTCAACTTTTGCAAAGACCCGCCGATAGAACTTGCCTGGCAGCGTACCTGTTTAACTAAACGTATTATTTCCTGATAATAATATCAAAACACGTAAGTACCTCTATAATTTATGATGAAAAATGATTTTGATTATGTTTTATATTATTTAAATACTTTCTAACCTCAAATAATAGTAAGATCCTTGTTTATATCGCACAGCCCGTTCAAAACTGTATTGTCTTCAAAAAATGTTTACAATACAAACAATTATTAAAAAAACAATGTCCTTTTAATCTGATTTATACCTCAGAAGGATGCCAGTAAAATTTTATTAAATCAACATTATATTATTTGGCCATTAATATGCAAAAAGGAGCATATTGCCTTAACTTAAATTTTCTTTTACTTCTCCTGACAAAGTTCTCTATATTCTCTATTTTGAGTTAGTAAACTTTTGAACGGGATGTGCGATATATAAAATACATAATATATCCAAGGGTATGATCTGATAAAATTGTTTTTGATGCATTTTTGGTTGTTTATGCACGTTGGCTTGGTTTATGTTTTATTCAGCTTATATTTATTTGGTATAACAGTTTTTTTTGCCTTTGGAATGGCATGCATTGAGGCTAGATAGTGTTTCATTAGATCATTAAAGGAATTTAAATTAGCATATATTTTTTTGTCATATTAGTGTGTTATCATGATACAGGTAGTTGTATCATAGTGCCTTATGCATATTATCAGTAAATAGATGATAACATACTAATAAAATGTCTTTTTAATAGTAAGTTTATCTTTCCAATTCACTAGTTATTTGCAAAATGTATTTTGAACTAATTTAAGTCATTAATTCATCATCTTTCTTTTTCAGGTTCCGGGATATTCTTTTTCATTGTTAAAAAAATATATATATTTCAATATTATTGTAATATAAATCACAGTTCTAAAAATAAATGATATTGTTTACTAATGTGTAATTTATTTACTGTGAATTTTCTCTGAAATCTTCTCTGAGTCTTTAATAATATCATTGATTTGCTGTGTAAAGTTAATAGACATATTTTTTAATACATTAAATTATATTAAAGTAATAAAAAATATGTTTATTAACTTTAAACAGTAAGTCAGTGATACTTATAAAAATATTTTTTTTTAAATTTCCCCTCTTTTAAGCCCCCGCCCCTCCAATTCCCCTCAATTTAGCTAGTACTGCCAGGCGACACCAGGTGGCGTCTGTTTCCATTTTTTAACATGAAGTTAGCATTTCTTTAATGTACCTATTCTCTGTGTTTTATTAAGCTATTTTTTTATCAAAGAAAAATTAATTATTGATATATCTAGATACAGTCATACTTTGTTGTTTTTATTAAACACTTTGCTAAAAACGTTTTGAATACAAATTTTTGTTAAAAAAAATAATTAAAATCATGTTTTACTGGTTGCCTCTGTTAATTTATGCTTAATCCTTAACAGGCGTGATCAGAAATTTTAGCACTCCATGCGTTGCGGAGTCCCTGGCTCCCTGGGACTCCAAAATATACAGGTGCGCTGTATTAGTGTTATCATAACACAATATTTTTTTTCATTATATGCATCGTTAAACACTTACAAGGAAATATATTTTTATTTTTACAGCCATATTATTAGTTACAAAATACGAGTAAAAAAAGCAAACAAACTAAAAGTAATACAGTTTGTACAAAATGAACATTATGCTACTTTTCATCGTATTTTACAAAAAGAAAAATATAAACAAAAAACATTACTCATTGAAAACCGTGATTACCAAGGTGAGAACTACAAAAAAAGAGAATACAACAGCCCCTAATGTAAAATTGCAAAAAATTGACAGGTGTTTAAAAACAAATAAAGTATAGCTTTTATTTAGGAGTTTTCGGTATTTTCTATGCATTGAACACACACTTTTCTTGAATATTTGATTGAACAGAAATATTTTTTTAGTTGGATCAGTAGTGTCCATGTCCTCTTAAGTTTCAGTAAACTCCATCTCATCTTGATCATCAGATTCATTGGCAGACATCTCACTCGCCATGGTTCTCCATCTTGGTCAGAAAACTCTTCCTCACTTTCATCAAACCATCTTAACATAGTTTCTTCAAAGTTAGGATCTGTGGCTTCAGCCACCTTTAATTTCTTAGACATAGTCACTAAATTGATATCGTTACACTAACGGCGTCGCGGAGTCCCACGGACTCTATGATGTTTGTTAGATACACTTGCCGTGATAACAGATCGAAATCGTCTCAACATCCGACGGGTACCATCACCATAGGAAGCTACTAGGGGACGCGCGTCGCTTGATCGACAAATACGAATGTTATGACACAATTTATTTTTACTAGAGTCCCAGGGACTCCGCAACGCCGGTTAAGGGTTAAATTTACTGTGTGTTGGGTTGGTTTGGGTCGAGGGTTTGGGTTGGTTACATGGGCTGGTTTAATTCAATAAAATTTTAAACAAGTATATTTTTAGGGTTTATTTTATGTTTATTTCGTAGGTTTATTGTAGATAACAGAATACAGGAGAATATAAAGTTAGTGGTTGTAATTTAATAGTATTAGTTTTAGTATCGTTACCTCAGGTTAAAACGATATCTTTATATGTTTGGCGAAATGTTATGTTATCTTATTCTTTTTGGTTGCGATTTTTAGTCCTATGCAAGCTTTCTCGTGTGCTTCAATACGATTGGGAAAGAATTTTCTTTTACACTTGGGGCACTCCTTAAGCTCGTTCAAATGGTTTTCCCAAACTCTATCGAACGTTCCTTTAAAATCAACACCACCAGAAGCTGAAACAATAGTACGAATTTCTTTTATTTTTTTATACAATACGATATAAAAATTAATAGCAAAATTACCAAATTATATTGAAAAAGTTCTATAACAATTAAAATTTCTTAAAGAAATGAAATACAAAGAAGCTTTGTTATAATTTATTTTTTATCAAATAAATAAAAAGGTTTTACAATATTATTTCTCAATACTCATCAATGCTTTATCTGCTTCTGATTTGACATTGGTTTTTGTTTCAGTAATGTCTTGTAATAAACGGATTTTGTGTGCAGCTTCTTGTTTAGATTCTTCTTTGAGATCTTTTTTGTGTTCCATATATAACCATCTAAAATAAATAGTTTATTAGCAATATGATTGAAACAATCTCAAAGTCGAGTATTTATTATTTTTGTCTAATAATATCAAAGAATTTACCCATTAAATAATATATACTAGCGTATGATCGAAAAAACGGCGCCCAGTTGGCTTGGAAATGACGATTAATGACATTCCCCATATAATTTTACATATAAAATAAAAGCGATCTTTGTTTCATAGTCATCGCTGACGCCGTTTTTTTTTCGATCATACACGGTATTTATAATTAATTAAAGAATAACGTATTAGCCAAAGTATTAGCAAAAAGGAGATGTATTAGATCGTTATCTGCGGTATTACTAAAATTCAGAGATATAAGCTTACTTCAGCTTATTTCGGGTTTCTCTTATTACCGATTCTGAACCGTCCTAGAACTGTGATGCGTATGCGCCGAAGGAAATATGAAGACATTATTTCATTTGCGCATGCGCTGCAGAGTTCTAGGACGGTTCAGAATCGGTAATAACAAGAACCCGAACAAAGCTTTCGGGTTTCTCTTATTACCGATTCTGAACCGTCCTAGAACTGTGATGCGTATGCGCAGAAGGAAATATGAAGACATTATTTCATTTGCGCATGCAATTTTCTGATATTATATATACTCAGTGGCGGATGCAGAGGGGGGAGGGAGGCATGGGACCCTGCCCCGCCTAAAATATCTCAATTTGGTTAAATATTAGGCTTTTGGTTTGGTTTGTATTTGCCCCCCCACCCCTAAAATAAATTGCTCTATCCGCCCCTGTATGTACTTGCTATGTGCTATATGTCGATACTAGTTTTGTACCTTTTATTAACATTTTAATACGTTTTCTTCGTAACTAATTAGTATGATACCACCTCATACCCTCATACGCCATAGACGTAGTCTAAACATTTATCAAAAATATAAATATGTCTTCAAGCAGATATTTAAAGTTGTTTGGAGGTATGTTAACAACACATATAGAAAGATAAATTAGTTTGTGGTAAGAATTTGGTTTCAGGTGTTATTAGTCCTTGTATTCTTTAGTCATTGGATAATTTTTAGTATAACCTTGAACATAGCGGACTAACCATAATGACTAAAGAATACGAGGACAAAAATATCACATGAGACCAAACTCTGTGACCTTTCTTCCAAACAGTGCAGTGGCACATATGTTTCTTAACATAGTTGCTTGAAGGCTTGAAGCGATATTTATATTTTTGATAAATGTTTTTACTACGCCTATGGTGTATCCGGTGGTATCATACTAATTA